AAGAGCTAGGATAGCAGATTGCTGGAAGCGAAGATTGGACTTGAAGTCTTCTGCAATTTCCCTAACAAGACGTTGGAATGGGAGCTTTGGGATAATTAGGCTAGTATTGAGTTGCTGTCTTCTGATATCGCGGAGAGCCTTGGTGCCTATATGTTTATTAGAGAGTTCTGGTAATCCTCTGGTAATCCTCTGGAATCCTCTGGTAATCCTCTTACCAGACTTTGCGCGGCGCGTGGCCTTCTGAGCATGATTGTTGCTAGCTTGAGATGAGCGAACTGGAGCTTTTCTTGCTGTGCCCACGGCCTTTTCCTTTCCCTTTCCACCAAGCCCAGAGCCAGCTCGTAATCCAAGTGGCATCCTTGGTGCTGTGCCACTAGTTGATCTCCTAGCAGTTTGCTTGGTACGAGCCATTTGCTAATATCAAGGTGAGTTAGTGAAGTAAACACAAGACAAAGAAGTAGATCAAAAGATATGTGTACTTACAGTGAGTTTGTAGGAAGAATATTGCAGAAGAAGAGTATAGAAAAGAGGTAGAGGTTGAAAGGTATGTGTTTTATATGAAGGTGCATGTTGTGGTGTTGCTTTTGGAACAATAATTCTTTGTAGGTGAATATTCCTTCACGAATATTTTTATTTGCAACTTTAAAATAACCACGACCTTAGAACCACCTTCCTTGGTTACTCCCTCCAATCTACACATTCTTCTTCCCTTTTGCGCCTTCACCTCTTCACTAGGACTTCAAGTAAGTTTATTATCTTGATTCTATAGCCAGAACTTCTGGCGATCTTCTGCTAATCACGTGTTTAGTATGGCGAAACGCAAGGCACCTGAAGAACTCTCCACTAATGTGAATACTATCAAAGCTCACCACCGCGTCTCCAACCTTACTGAATATGAGAAGGCTGTTCACTTAGCACTCAAGGCTGACCATGCTGATCTGAGCTACTACTTAAAGAAGTTATATAAGTCTGCAAAGTATATCGCTGCCTCTACTGAAGACAAGACATGTCTACAGAATGAATTGAAGGTTGAGCGTATTCGTGTTCGGTAAGTTCCTACTGGTAATCTCTGGTAGCCTCAATCTAACTATAAACAGGACTGAGAAGGGTACCCATGCATCTTGCATTGCGAATCAGAAAGTCAAGAATATTAGCGCCTCTTCTTCTCCACAAGCCCCACCATCTACTCCGCCCAAACAACTTCTGTCTGAGCTTGCTGCATTTGAGGGTATCTCAAGTATTCCAATCGATGACAATCATAACAGCGAATGGGAGGATACTGAGGTTGAAGACGATTTGGAGTTGGAGCTTATGTTACAGCGCGAGATATTTTAAATGACGAGGCTGTTCTACCGGATGAGCTTTCCGATGAAGAGATCACTAGCACCCAGGCTCTCTTAACTCAAGCGCACATTGATGTATGCTACCTCATAATCTGGTAATCTTCTGGTGATACTAATAGTTGATAGGCCCATGAAGAGTCCAATTTCCGCAAGTGGCAACATTTCTGGGATAGCTGTATCCACTCATATACGAGAAAGGCTGGAAAGCTGAGAAAGAAGCCTGAGCGTCTCTTTGAGTATATGCCGTGGGTTGATGTAGAGGAAGGGTACGTCTCTGATCATCCTAGCAATCTTCTGGCAATACTAATTGTTTATTATAGCACTTTTCATGAGGTTATCCCACCACATAAATATTTCTGTTTGTACGAGCAGGCAGTTTGGAAAGTGGGCCTAATTACCAGGACCTGTGCAGTGGTACCCAAAGTCTTACAATTTTGTCGACAATGGATGGTTGCAAATATCCACTCATAGTTCTAGCTTCAAAGAGGCGTTCTTACTTGTCTACTCTAAGAAGTTTGATAAGGAAAAGTGGGCTAAGGTATCAGCTGCACAGGATATGTTGTTCCTGGAGCTAGAGTAGAGGAGAACTTGAGTTGCTAAAGTTATAGCGCTGGAGTACCTTTCGCGTTGGAAAACCAGGTATTTAAGTACTTCATCGTAGCCAGACTTCTGGTAACCTTCTGATAATCGAGCAATTTGCCAAATGCCATCTCAATACTCAGAGTTGTTTGATTCTGACAGTATTCTCAGACTCTTTTCCGTCTTCTCAACGACTATCCTCATTAAATTAAGTCTGTAAGGACACAGGGCACCCAGCTCACAGTAATAGCATATGAGAGTGCGAGTCAGAGGCTAAACGGATGCTATCCTATAGGTCTACTACGAAGGATACAAAAAAGATGAAGAGAGGAACCCCCGTTGGGTCAATCTCCTTAAGTACCCGAAACGGGTCTGACTCAGCTAACCTGCCTTAACTCTTATCATGTGACCGTAACCTGCCCGACTCAGATCCTTTCCATCACTGAGGGACAGGCATCCTTACAAAGTCCCTGCAGGCCTTGAATATATTGGCAAGTTAAACCAATTCGTCAAATGGACTAAGGATACACACGATATATTCATTGAGTGGTGGAAGCTATCACGATGGTATGAACAACACTCAGATCATACTACAAAACTCCTTATGAAGATTGCATGGGATTCAACCAACTGGAGTTCTCAATACTGGAGAAGTTATCACCAAGGAGCAGACCGGCTTTCTGGAGAACCATGTGTTATTTGTACTTATTGTTCGAAGGCCCTTACGCATCCTGCAATCAAGTCTGCTGGCCCAAAGTCTATGGCAACACATCTTGCATCAGACATTTGCAAAAAGAAGTCACAGATGGGAAGGATAGTCTCTATCAAATGCGAATCAATCAAATGCAACCTCAACAAGTAAGGATTACCAGATTATTACCAGAATTATGTAGGTTAATACCTATAATAAGATCATATTCTCACACAAGAGACATTTTATGAACAAGTTCTATACACAGTTATCTTGACTCATAGCTCGTTCCGCTCAGTCGAGGATCCTCATCAAGACCCTATAAATACTTTAGGTATTAGTAGGTCTGGCCGGCCTCATCAAGCAAGGTGGAGGGATGTTCTTAAGCATATATAATAGATAATAGCGTTCTAATAATCTTCTGATAATCATGGTACTTAGATAGAGGAATATACATGATTCGTTCTCACAGCTTACTAGAGATGGCGAGAGTGATGCTAATAGATGTAATACTTTAACTTAACCATAAAACAGTATTAATCGTATGAGGGACTGTTCACATGATGCATAAATCTTACACGTGATAGCCGAGTACTCACCGGGTTTTTACAGAGTAACTGAGTATTGACCTCACTCACCGAGTCGAGTAAAAGGTTCAGCTACTCACCCAGCTGAGTAACCCACTGAGCGAGTGAGCCGAGTATTGAGCGAGTAGTGCGCAGCCTAGGAATAATGAAGTCCCCAAGTCTCTGCGAAGAACAAAACCTTCCGTAATTGGCACAGGGAAGTTAGTGAATATGTAGGCAACAATGCGAAACTAATTACTGCAAAGGTAGTTGATAATACTGCAATTTAATTAAGCATTAGCTTCTGATCTATGTTGGGGGGGGGGCAAGAAGCCGATAGGGGGCTAACAAATATATCTCATAAAATGCCTGGCCCGTCGCAGTTGCTGCCTTTCTACAATCCACACGGACCTGTAATTCATACTCTATATCTCAATTAGTATCAGAGGTAATTTACGACGGTGTTAAATTCCCCGAAACGGAAAGTTGTAGTACATACCGACGATTAGTACGTGGGTGATAGCCCCTGAAGCAATAGCGACCAGAAATCTAGGATACTTGACAAGGAAGTAGAAGTAGACCATAAGAAAAAGAAAGAGAAAAACGATAATTCCGGCAGTCTTCTGTCCAACAATATACCAGTTAATGAATACCGCGACTGTTGCTAGCACGGTTGTGCCTAGATTTGTTATCAAGGTGAACACGGGCGCTGGCAGTCGTTGGGTTCATCCCAAGGCAAATTCTCGCTACCCCCCATGGCTCGCTGCCCAAAAAAAACCTGCGTGTTTGATGATACATTACTAATGCATTATAGTACATTAAAGATTTAATCCTTAACGAAGATAACTTCATGGTAGTATGCTTCTATATAGAGGTAGCTAAAGTGTTATTGAAAAGGGAAGATTAACATGACCTTTAAGAGGGTTAAAGCTTCTAAGATTAACGAGGTTATATTTGCTACATTTCTACTAGAGTCAAATAAAGGTACGACTCTAATTCATTTATAAAGCATTACTAATGTATTAGTAATGACATTTGTTCAGGTTTTTGTTAACTAAGAAGCCATCATCGCGATACTCATCGACGCAATGGTCACCCGCGCGCCAAACTTGGAGGGGTCAGATCCAAAGAATTTAGGTATGACTCTGAGTTGATCGCCAAACGCCTGCCAGAAGTTTTTGGGAGGTAGATGCTCGGGGTCTTTGGGAGTCTGGAGTGAGTGTCCAAGGGAGACTGTCTGGACATCGGCTCCCACGCCACCGGCTTTGTAGATTCCTGGGTTCGAATCTTCGCCATGAATAAGCCCTTTTACCAACTTTGTCACAATCTTTAGAGAAGGAAAGATAAATTGTCGTTTCTCCAATGTTCCGTCTGTAACCCTTGACTCGGCACATCGAACAAAGGCTAGGATCCTTTTTGAAACGGAGTACATAAGGTATTTGTTGAAGGATGAGGTTGCTCAGACTGATTGGTTGGGCGCGACTGGAACCCGATACTTACCACAGATATAGACATGTTTATCATGAATTTTCCACGTGGAAGAATCGTAACAGACAAGATAGAGACCACTATGATCAAATACCCAAAATTCACGTACGGGACTAGGCAATATCGATTGCTCTACCACGACCATGTCGTCAGGGATTGGCTGCCCGCCGCTCGTAGCTATTATACTTCGGTCTTCACCACCCTGGGTACCTTTCAGTGCCTGTCTAGCTTTGCTTGCTTGGTATTCATTTATACGGAGTCGTCTTGTTTTGGCATGAGCTATACGAGCGGGGTGCGAGTTTGTTCGCCGCTGATCCTTCGCCGACGTGGCATCTCCTTGACGGACAGATTGACGAATTGGATTATTCCCAGCCCGCTCGACGCCACCATTAGATACTTTTGGTAGACGGCAGAATTGAAGCAAGCTCTTGGAATTGCTAGCAAACGTTGTGTTCGATTTCGGAATGCATGGGATGGAAGGGTCAGCTACGAACGACACATGGTTCGGTTCCTATGATATGAATTTGGTCTGATCATATTTCGAACACAACAGTGTAGCTTGCTATTGGGCATCATATCATTTAGCTATTTCCAACTTATAAAGCTTAATCGATTATCCATTTATGCCAAGACTTGCTCCTTCTGAATGAGGGATAGGTTCCTCCGAAACGGCGGAGTTCCAAGCATGGCCAGCGCGTACTTATCAACAGCGAACCCGGAACCACTTGAGGATCGTAATTGCGAAGGGCAAGAGGATTTAGATAGAAATATTAAAAATTTATTAAAAATATAGCTATTATCACTCCCACATGAAATCTAACCTACAACTTCTCTATCTCTATTGGCAAGCTTCTCCTTTTCATTTCTTGCATGGTTCTCCACGCCGACCTCTGACAAATCGACCTTAGCACGCCAGCCCATCCACCAGGGGCCGTCAAACAGCTCCTCCATTCTTTCCATTGGAATCCCCTTTGTTTCAGGGGCCCAAATACCAAGCAGGACGAATCCAACAGCGCAGACTATCGCCCAGAAAATATACGCGCCCCAAACATCAAGGCTCACGAACATATTTGGCGTTACGCGCACCACGGCAAATTGGAAGAACCAGTGCAGGGCCATGTTTGTTGCATAGCACACGCTGCGAATGCGCGTGGGGTATATTTCCGTGCCATAGAGGTACTGCACTGTGCAGAGACCGATTGACCATCCAACAGCGTAGATGAATACCGAGGCGATGGCTGCATCGGATGCTGACTTGTTGCCGGAGTCCGCGAAGATGGACATGTATATTGACATGTAGATGTGGGTAATGCATTGAAGTCCGAGGCCAGTAAGCATGCATCGGCGGCGTCCAAATACATCGACAAGACCCCAGGTAAACACCATTGTAAACACAAGCTTCACAATGCCGTATGCCCCCGAGGTGATTAGAGAGGTATTGGTTCCAACTACGCCTGCGTAGGTGAAAATCTAATTTAATTGTTAGCAGATATCACCCATGGACACGTTAAAACGTACCTCGGGAATATAATAAGTAATTCCGTTTCCTCCGCTCCACTGTGCAACAGTTTGCATAGCAGCGCCCAGTAAGAAACGTTTGCGATAAGTCGATATCGTAGCAACCTCTTTGAAAATTGTCCATATTGGGACTCCAGCAAGGTTTTGCTGTCTCAGCTGTATTTGCTGCTGGATTTCTTCATATTCCAGGGACAAAGCAGGGTCGCTTTTATCAGAGTGGCGAAGACGTTCAAGAACCGCAAGAGCCTCCTGGCCACGGTCTTTGGATGCTAGCCATCGAGGCGTATCGGACAGGAAAAACGAACATATGAAAGCAATTCCAACAGGAATGAGCGGTATAGCCTGGACAAGGCGATATTGAGCAGCACCGACGGGCATAGTGCCGTTCACAGCATAATTAATGAAGAAGCCTGGTTATAGTTAGTGGTGTTGTCGTACCATCAGGCTTCGGGTGGACCTACCAATCGACAGGAATGTGAGAAGCAGCACCATATACATGCTGACAATAATTCCTCTGGTCTTTGCAGGAGCAATCTCGGAGAGATACAGGGGTGCAACGACGGTAAGTCCTCCGGACCCCAACCCTCCCCAAATCCTGGCAAATAGCATGAAGCCAACAATACCAGACGAAAAGACCTGCATGAAGATACCGCTAGCCCATAGTACAACAAACAGTTGCCAGCATCGTAATCGACCCAGTCTGTCGGTGAGAGCAAGGGCGATTAAGGAGCCGAACGCCGCACCAAGAACGCCAAACGATGATATGTTGGCTTTGCGGTCTGCGAGGCCTGATGGGTCGTTTTTCCAGAGCGAGGGTACCAGCCCATAATCATTCTTGAATGACTTCAATCCAACAGAGGCACTAAACCCTCCTTCGTCGTATCCTATATAATATAGTTAGTGGCTGTAGCGGCAAAGATTCGGGTATGCCGTACCTTTCGGAATACTTCCTGATGCAATCACCAGAATGGTGAATACATAGTACGGATTGATGTCAAACATGGCCCCTCAGTAAATAAGCAGCAATGTGAAACGAATGTGCCAAAACTGTAATAGCAAAAGTTGGGGAAGCAACCCCAGCTTTATTCAACTGTTATATGTGGGGTAGTCGTGACCCAACGTTCATTGCGGATTTTGCGGGGGGAAAACGTGAGCTTCGCGTGGTATCCGTTATATCTTCCCGGATTCGGCACCAGAGTGAAGTTGCCCAGAAATATTAACCTGACACCAGCAGTGTAGGCTCTGCCATGAAGCTGACAGGAGTGAAGTCGGGTGATGGAGGGAGTCTCCCCTCGGAAGTTGGCCGCCGAGACCGTGCACACGTTGCACAAACCCCACAAGTTTGTGCTCTCGGTCAACTTCCGATGGCAAACGCGGCGGCAAACGACTTCAACACGTTACCGACCTAACAAAATCGTATTTTTGACCACAACGTAGCTAGTGGTATCTTATCATGCCGAGGACACGCAATTACGCATTACGGAGTCATCTATCCGGTGCACTAATTGGGTATATATTTATAATTCTCTTTTCTCTTCATATTCGCATTTTTTACAAGACTTGGTGATGCCGTAGCCACGCGAATTCTCGTCGAGCCTCCTTTACGAACTTTTTTATCTCGTCTATACTCTATATAATATCTCTTAAAGGATTGTGCAGAGAATGATCATATCTGTGATTGGCCTAGCCAGATCCATCATGAGGCGCTTTATGCGTCCTATTTTCTTTCTAGCCAGAGCATCATCTTGGAGACAATACTGGACCGGCTCGCGCCCGACACAGAAAGCTTCTATTCGAGAATTACTCCTTCAAAAGATCCCCCACAAATCATGGGACAGCCATATGCACGTAGTCGACCCAACGCAATATCCTCTCGCCGAAGGGGCACAATATACCCCCCAACCTCATCTTCTATCAGACGCCTTAACATTCGAGTCAACACTGGGTATCTATAAGATCGTCCTTGTTCAGCCATCAATTTATGGCAACGATAACTCGTGCATGCTCGACGCCTTACGCAGGATTGGCCCTCAAAATGGGCGCGCTGTTGTAACATTCGACCCGAAATCAATCAATTCTTTAACTCTCGATGTGTGGCAGAGGATAGGGGTCCGAGGAGTCAGAATCAACCTGCAATCTGTGAGCCAGCAGATGGATCCAGTTGAGCTCACGGCCACCTTGCAACAATATGCGGACATAATACGCCCATATGGCTGGGTGTTGCAGCTTTATGTCCCGCTCAATACGGCGACTGTATTGGAGACCGTTGTTCCGAAATTAGGAGTGAAGGTTTGCTTGGATCATTTTGGATGCCCAACGCTATCCGGTACTTTTGGATATCCAGTCGCTGGTGACCCATACTCCCTCCCGGGATTTACGTCGCTCGTCAACCTTCTATCGCAAGGAAGTACATATTTGAAAATGTCTGCACCATATCGGCTGAGCCCAGATGCTGGACATCTGGATTTGGAGCCTATGGCGAAAGAGCTGCTGAGAGTTGCGCCGAACCAGATAGTGTTTGCATCCGATTGGCCGCATACACGATATGAGGGATTGGACATCAAGCCATTTGTGGAAAGTGTGGTGGAGTGGTGCGGCGATGATAATACCCTGATAGAGAGGATTTTTAAATATAATGCTGAGGATCTGTGGTCAGTTAGCAATGAAAAATAGAACTTACACGAGGCAGCAGATGATTTGTGATAATAACCACGAGAGAGCTGACCACAGCCGAGCGATTAATGATAAAATTTAGAAAGGCGAGACATACCCAAGGCCAACACGATGCAAAGATAGCAGGTTATTGCAGCATGTATCAGCGTGTCCGAAAGTGGCATAGTGATGATGTGTGAACTCTATTCTTGGGCCGCCAGAGCCTTTGACAAGCATGCCAGGACAATTATTGGCATTCGTCATTGTTTTAATAGCCCTATTACCACAATCGCGACACTGTCGCATCGATGGGCTCCAGAGATGAAAAGGCTTCCAGCACCTCCTTTGTCACCTCGAAGTTGTCAGGATTGAAATTGTAAACGTATGCATCCTGCAAATTGCCATCTGCTCCTACCTGCGGTACAATTGGCACCGAGTCGGCTACAAGAGGGAGGAATTCACCCTGGACAGGCGGGGTATAACCTGTAGGGGCAAGACTTTGGATGGCAAGTCCTGATAGGTCGATGTCTAATCTGGAGAGTGCTTTGGTAATTAAGTCCAATGCACTGGTAATTACTATACGAATCTGTAAGCTGGGGCAACATAAAGCATGGAGAATGCCTACCTGGGTTAGTTGATTTTACCCGTTCGAGGGAGTATATAGAGAACTTCAGCCGTGCTAAGGTCTGTTCATCCCGCGACATCCCAGCTTGAATTTGGAGCAAGAATATCGATGCTGCCGTATAAACACTGTAAGACAGTGAGAGAATACAATAGTTGTCTCCAAACGTTTTGCAAAATAAGTCGAAGATCGCAATAATTGAAGTGGCAGACGAAATACACTCCACTAGATGATTCGGCTCTGGCTTTTGGTCGGTGACATCCGAGCGTTGAAATAGCATTGGCCGATAAAGAAGAATCGTAAAGGTATGGTATAAGCAACTAGGATTCGTTAGCACACGGTACCACATTTAATTACAGTACATGCGACATACTTCAGAGTGACAATATGGCTAGGCGGGCACTGAAGTGGCATTTCTCTGGGATCGATCCTGAGAAAATTTGGGAGTTCTTTCCACCACAATTTCAGAGCCTCGCCTTCAACCATGATACAAGTCTGAATCTCGTCTTCGCAGTTTTCTTGCAGCGGGTCATATATGTGTATGAGGATCTGATTGAATATTTCGGAGAGTTGGCACATTCTCACGAAGCAGGATATAGAATGAGCCTGTGTAGGTGCGTATTCCATGCCTTCGGAATATACAATACCATGCGGGCTCCAAAGCTCGGTTTCTGCCGAATCATCCACTGCAAGCACGTATAAGCAATAGTAACACAACTGCGGAGGGGTACTGACACATGATTTGAGGCGGGCTAACGTTCGAATGCTGCAACGTCGGGGACCTGCCAAGATAGAGACTGATCATCTTATCCCAAAAGTAGCAGCTCCAGAAAACACGTCGCCTAATCTCAATATCTTCATCTGATAGCTGTACTGACCCGGCATATTTTTGGCCATCAATGCAGATACCGAGATCCTCGATCAGCCTAAATGCCATGCCACTGTACAACCACGCCTGGGTACGATTGCCATAGCTACATTCTTGTGCGCTTAACAAGAGAAGAGTTTGGACTGTAGGAATGCTGCTTTGGCCAGTTCTCAACCCATCAAAAAGTAAGGTGCGTGCCTGTCGAGAGAATACTTCGCCATCCTCATATGGCACAAGCAAGTGACTAATCTGGCTCTTTTTACACCAACGAATAGAATGCGATAGCATAGTATTTAGCAATGCATGCGAATAATACGGGCCCGAGACCTCCATATCACCTTTTTCTGTATTAGCCACCGTTGGTAAGATTTTGGGAAGATAAATACGTGTGAAAGCCGGCCTATATACAAAGTTGAACAGAGGTTGAATCCAACACCAGTGGGTTTTGAGCAAAAACTGAAACGGTTCCTGTAACTGTTTAGTTATCCTTCCCGCATGTAACTTGTTGGATAGGTTCTCACCGGCGTTTTTGCAAAGGTCTCCAAAGCTCGTTGGTGCCATGCATTGCTGACGAGCTTCTGCCTTATGCGTTCGCCATCAAGGCTTGCTGACGGGTCATCTGACTCAATACCAGTGGATGGCTTGTCCGACGTAGCATTCGGTAAATGGAAAAACCCTGTTGCCCCATGATAAGTAATGGATCCCTGGTTATCAAATTTCAAACCTTCAAAGGAGACCGGTGGAAGCCCACTTCTCGGTTTAGAAGATCCAGGTTGCGGGGACCCACTGGCCTCCTTCGCTGGCGGTATTTGTAGCTGTGACACTAGGCGCTCCAATTCCTCGATTCTGCTTTCCAACTTTTGGGTATATGATAGTGTTGGAGGTAATTTATATTCACATGTGTCTTCTCGTGCGACACAGCGCTTGCAGGAAGGTTGTTCCCCGCCACATCTTACCTTTCTCTTCCTGCACTGGTCGCAAGAGAAGGCGCTTTTCTTAGAAATGGACATAGGGATGAACGTTTGACGAGTAAGATAGTGTATACTAGATTCTGGCTTCTTTCCCTAACATTGCAGGCGATTATGATGGCATGAACTTGCCAAGAATGTGTTGTTGAGGTTTCCATCTCGAGAGGGCCAAGTCAACTGCAGATCACATGACAACTCATTCATAGGCAAGGCTTTTACAATATTGAATTAAACGTACAATTCCACGGATTTTTTTATAAATACAGTCATTGTAAAAGCTAGTAAATTGAAGCTTAACATCCTATTCAAACTAAATCTAAATGGGGAATATCGTGATCTACAAGCTTGATGTGAACCTGGACCTGTCCATTTGCGGAGAAAGGTGGCTCCGAGGCGAGAACCCCGGTCAATCGAATGGCCTCAATATGGGGTTCCTCGCTGCCAACCACCACATCGATGAATCTCAGAAACCACCATCATGGGCGCCTCTGACTCGAAGCTTGTCTTCAAGAAAGGCATATTTAAGCTCTCCGAAGAGCGAAATATTGCTGCTGATGACCCCTACTGGACTTCTGTGAGCTATCATCATACACACCAAGGTTACTCTCAGCTAATAGTTGGCAGTTTTGGGAACTTCCTGAAAGCGCTGAAGATGTCTTCAATCTTTTTTCTCCAGCCGACGTCCGCCGGACCAGAGATGACGCCAAAGAAAACCTAGAAACTCTAATGGTGGTCACCGTCACACAGCTTTCCATGCTACGGAACCATCCAAGCTTTCCAGATCCAGAAATCGCTCCAGAACAAGACGCCCTCAACTGCGTGCGGGTCCTCACTCGAATTCTACCATATTTATACGAGTCCGACAGTTTGCATGAATGGGAAGATAGGATATTTTGGGGTCCGCGAAAGAAGCTGACGAGGAAGGCTTCCATATCGCCACATGTGCTGTTCGACGATACCGAGGCGTCTCAGCCGCCGAACAAGGCATTATCCGAGGATGAGAAATACGAAGATGCCAAACCACTTGCTGAAGAGTTGATCGACACTCTCATCGACCTTCTGTTCTTCGGCGGGTTCACGATTCCGGCGACAGGCAAGAACAAGGTTTCATACGCGATATGGCAGAGCGGGGTCGGTTGCAACACACCCGTTGGGACGAGCAAGGAGTTTGAAAGCAACCGCTGCGAGATCTTGCGGCTGTTACTTACTTTGACATCTAAGTCGATGTATATGAGCGCAAACATGCTGCCAGTGGTCGGAATCAAAGCAATTACATATATCACAACTTGCGCTGACAAGCAGGTTGTCCTGTCAGTGCTTTGTTCTTTGCTCAACACTGTAAGTTTAGCTTCACGTCCTACAGTGTACACATTTTAACCTATACAGACCTTAAAATATAACCCGGCAAGTTGGACAGTTCCATACAATCACATGGTCTTCAAAGATCCCAAGCAGATACTTGTCACCTACGCTATCCAGTTTCTTCTTGTTGCATTGGTTTATCCCGTGCCTGAGGCTGGACTGTCGAACCTTCAAAAGAATTACTATCGCCATTTGTGAGTGCCTTATCCGGTGTCGAATGCTCATGCGCTAACCTTCTGTAGCCTCGGGCGCCTCCATAGACCTCAGGATTTCCAGTTTATGGTAGATGGTATGACGAGGATATTAAACCAGCCTATCGTTGCAAACACCTCATACCTGCCTGGAAGCCATGCATCAACCAAGTGCGCACCGGAAATAATCATGGTATGTAACATATATCAAGGGGGCTGAATATTTACTAATTTTCTTAGTTGTTCTGGGAAATCACTCAATGCAACAAGCGGTTCCGGTCTTTTATCATCGATACGGATCGCTCACACGACTTTGTGATATTGTTAATATTCTACATTGTCCAATACAAGTTAGATCCAGCGAAGCAAGGAGTAGTGAAGATGTGCGCCTTCTTATTACAGACCTTGAGCGTGGAGCCGAACTTCGGTACCAGCCTGAACAAGAAATTCCTAGCTCAGGGTACATTGCCGCAGAGTATCAGGATCCAATCTTTCAATGGATCATACTCGGATTTTGTGATACAGTCTATCTACTCAATTATCACCACGAGTCAAGGCAAGCTATCAGCGGTCTATCCTGCGCTTTTAGCAGTCATCGCGAACATTTCAGGTTATCTTGTTACCATTAACGCCATCACGACTTCGAAACTCCAGCATTTATTTGCATCCATGTCCGCGCCTTCATTCCTCCTCGCAAACGAAAGTAACCATGAACTCTTACAATCGTTGCTAGAGTCGATGAATGCAATTATTGAGCACCAATATCATAGTACGTGATATATCCTTATACCCTTTAAGAACGACAGCTGACCAAACAGAAAATCCAAGCTTCATCTATTCCATTATCCGGAACAGGAAACGCTTTCAAGCCTTACGGTCTTTCACGCTGGAAGGTGGGCAGGCCGAAATTGAGCGGCAAAACCAGCGCCGCAAGGAGGCAAATGAAAGCGGAGATCCAACAAACGACGGCGAGTTACCTAGGTTTTCCATGGACAGCATTCAGAGCCCAACTACAGCTCAGCACCGTCGCCCCTCTCAGCAAAATGTGCCCGAGGAAGAGAACACATTTGCCATCGGAGACGACGACGACGATGACCCCGAGACCGACGATGGCCATGCTATGACACCATCATACTCTACGCCCACTTACCAGCCCTCGCGTGCGTCATCCATAACATCCGATATGGATGACGCGGTCCCAACCCAGGTCCGCGGTATGTCTGAAAAAGCCCGCGGCAAAAGACCAGCAGGCACTCCCACATTCTCCCGCCAAAACAGCATAACCAGCCTCGGCGGACCAACCCAAAACGCCAACGGCCAATTCGAACCGTCCGCACAGTGGATCGAGTCCTGGCTCCCAATCCTACCGCTCCACACGATCCTCAACATCATCGACCAAGTTACCCCGCTGCTCCCACGCACGGGCTCCGGTACAGAAGGAAGCACATCCATCCTGCGCATCATTCAAGACTCACAGCCGCACGGCATCGAGCCCAGCGCCATCCGCGTCCAGTCCTTCGAGTGGTCACCCCTGAGCCTGGGCTGGTACGAGTCCCTCCTATGGAGCTTCGTGTACGTCAGCGAGATGCAGGTCAGCAAGGGGACAGTAGGCGTATGGAACGGGACGTCAATGCGCCTCTTCCGCGTCCAGGAGACCGCAGCGCAAGGACCGAGTTTGGCGAGCCCGAGAGGCGCGGTTGATGCCCTGGGGAGCAACATCGTGTCGCGCATCGGCAGCATGAATCTAGGGAGGGTAGGGCAGCTGGCGGTGGGAGGGACTACGGGGAATGCACAGCAGGCGGGTAATAACAGGGGATCATCGCAGGGCGGGGATGGGAATGGGGGCGAGGGCGGCGTCGCCTAGAAGTGCGGTGGTCTGAAGGGGTGAATGAGGGGTTTATTGTCTATCTGTGCAGAGCTGGGTTTCCTTCAGTACCTGTCGTTTCAGCGCTGGCGTTCATGGGATGGGAAACCGAGGTGGACTGGGCGAGGAAGTACATGAGCGGAACATAAGTCGCAGTTATGAGATAAATAAGTCATGATAGTAGCGTTTTGTGTTTCGAGTGGTGAATCTGGTGCCGTAGACCCTACGGAGTACTTTCCGAGCTCTATCTTCTGGGAATAGGTACATGCTCCAACACAGAGTCGTAAGTACTATTATAAGTACCTCAGTGGAGAACCAGGGCCCCTAGGGCTACAGTACATAACCCCCTGTTCCCTGTGACGTCGTTGAGGGGTCCCGAGTCAATTACCCCTAACCTCTTCAAGTTTAGCTCGCTCGGAGCTGATTTAGTTTATGCCGAATGGTGGGGAACGCCCATCCACAATGGCAAGTAGAGATAAGATTGGCCTCGTTGCTCCGTAGATTGTCGCGGATTGGCACAGATGCGCGACTTCCTGACCTCTCCAAGGCACCATATCGGCCCCATCCTCGCCACCATTTTAGTAGCTCTACGTTGGGAAATAAAACGGCGGCTTGTCGAAATACTTGGAAACAGATAATTCCATGTGAGCTCCTGCGGCGTTTGTTCACCTTCCTTACCATACCATACGTACGCCTTTGTCGATTTTTTATATGGAATACGCAATTACCCAACATGGATGACAGTTTTGTAAAGGTTGGAGGATCTCCCGAGGAGGTTAGAACTTATAGGGCCCATGTAAGTAACTTTACTGCTCTCTAGTACCTGAGTTGCCGGGCAAGCTGGCCAAGAAGGTGGTTGGAATATGCTGACAGCGGATGTTAGGTATCGTCAAAATATCTCGAGCTCACGAGGAAGAAGCTTGAGGTTACGCGGTTGCCGCATCATCTCACGCTTGAGAAGGGGAGGGAATGGGAGATGGGCACGCCCAAGTCCATCATTGAGCCATTGGTAGACTACTGGTACGCCATGACAACCTCAACCCTTTATATACCCCCCCGATTACAGAGGTCCTAACAAAACTGGCAGGCTCGAAACATACGATTGGCGCAGACAAGAACAGTTATTCAATGATACCCTCCCGCAATTCCGCGTCTCTATTACTCCTCCCGGGGCTGAGAACAAGAAGCCACTCCGCATTCACTTCATCCACATCAAGTCGCGGTCCGCCAATGCTATCCCGCTGCTACTCCTCCCCTCATTTCCATTCACAAACCTTTCATTCTCACCAATCTTCGCCGCCCTCCACTCACCGGCAGATGGAGGCCAAGCATACGACCTCGTCGTTCCCTCGCTTCCCGGCCTCGGTTTCAGCGACCCATTCAATACCTCGCCGAACGACCCGCTCCTCGCCTCAACGGCCTACATCTTCAACCACCTCATGTCGATACTAGGTTATAACCAGTACTTGGCCACTGGCACCGGCTCTGCGGCAGCCAGCCCCGCGAACATCGACTATCACCTCCCCCGTCTCATCGCCGAGAGGTACAGCTCAAATTGCCTCGGAATGCACATCATCGATCCCGCAGTCCTAAGTCCGAGTCCAACATCGGCACCACTAGGCTACCTAAAGTACTCCTTCGCCAAGTTCTTCCACGCTTCCATATTCGGCTACACCGCTGCAGACTGGGCAGCCTCAACCCGCCGTCCCTCCGACCAACCCAGCATCGCACCCCCCAGCCCCGCCGAACTGGACGCCACCACCGTCTCCGAGCCCCTCGACCACACCCCCCGTCGACCCGTCCTCGACCGCCAAGGCACCGGCCCCTCCCTCCTCAAGCGCCCCGTCTTCTCCACCACCGACGAAGCAACACGCCTCTCCAAAAGCCACCTCTCCGGCGACCTGACCCTAACCCTCGCCTACGCCCTCTGCGACTCCCCCACCGGCATGCTCTCCCTCACCCTCCTCGGCCTCGAGCGCATATCCCCAAACCACACCCTCACCAAGGCGGAAATAACAACCATCCTCCAGCTCGCGTGGCTGCCTGGCCCCGAAGCCGCGCTGCGGCTCTGGAGCGGCGCGGACGCAGAGGTGAGGAAGGAGGCTGCTGAGAGGACGGCACCGAGTGGTGGTGGGTGCCCGATAGCTATCACTGCGTTTGAGGGCGCGCTTGGCGACTCGGGGAGCTTTAAGAGTCCGGTGTGGGCGGAGACGAGGCATCGCGTGGTGCATATCTCGCGCCGCAAGGGACTGCCGGGTCTGCCGTGGGAGAATGCCGAGACTATCGTTGCGGGTGTGAGGGAGCTGAGTAAGGCGGTGTGGACACAAGATGGCCAGGCTGCGGGGTTGCAGGAGGCGGTGTCGTATATGGAGGGCCGTGGGAAGCAGGGCGGGTTCTTCGATGCGGGTGAGGAGCTCGATGCTGTTGGTCTTGCTCTGCAGAGGACGCAGATGTCTGAGAGGGATACGGGGAGCTCGGATAGGGTGGTTCAGATGTGGACGCCTGAGGGGTTGTCGGCTGGTGGATCGCTCGATGAGATGAATGGGAGGTTGGAGATGGAGGAGGAGTATTATACGGACCAGGAGCTTGCTGGGACGTGGAAGGGTGATGCGAAGGGGAAGCAGAGTCAGGAGCCGCTTGAGCCGTCGGAGAAGTCGAAGGGGAAGAAGAAGGGGAGGAGGTTGCAGCGCAGGATGGGGGTGGAGGGGTGGGGTTATATCTGGGAGGAATAGGGAAGGCGTTTTTTTGGAATCATTTGCCGCGTCGCCAAACTGGATCTGGCGATGGAGAGCGTATCTGATTTTGCGGCATTATTGCATTATAGAAGGGATTGGGGAAATACTATAAACGGTATAAGAGAGATATCCTTCACTTTCCTATATATATATATACAGTGTCTACAGGTCATTGCATAGAGTGTAAACTAGAAGCACGCAGAATTGTACAAACGAGTCAAACATTACTTCAAAGGGCCACAAGATCCAAGTGCACGGATACGCATGTAGTTTTTTAACGTGTGTCATCGATCGTGTTTCTACACAAAAACTCCTGGCCGCCGTGGCGACCAAAGCCATGCACCAAAACTCTAAAATGGCAAAATCATATACGCCAGTGCACCCATCCTCCGCCCGCGTCTCAAACTCAAGCTTCCATTAATCCGCACCGCACCCACTAATCCAACTTATTGAACAATCGCCCACCAGACCCGCCCTGGCTAGTCCTCCGTCCCTTCTCATACAACCACTTGCTATTCAACCCCACGCTCGCCTTCCCCGCACCACTCGGACTCGGCGTCCCCGGCTCCGCCCCTCCAACTCTCCCAAGCGGACTCGGGCTCCCATAGCTATCCCTCCTCTGATTATTGAACGTCTTATGAAGCAACGGGCTCGCATTCGGGTTGAACGGGCTCCCTCTCCCTCCCTCGGTGCCGTTTATCGGACTATTGCGACCGCTCAACGGGCTGCCGGAGATCGGGGAGCTGGTGTTCGAGCCGGAGTTGCGGGGCGCGGGGGAGCGCGCGTAGCGGGGGGGAGTGATGTAGGTTGAGCCGGGGGTTGGGGGGGTGGAGGAGGCGGGGAGGCCGAGGAGGGAGCGTTGCGCTGGGGTGAGGGGGATGTCGGCGAGGGTGTCTTTGGGGCGGAGGAGGGGGAGGATGGCGATGAGGATGTTGGCTAGGAAGAGGAGGCGGAGGAGGTTGTAGATGTATTGGGGGTAGGGTTGGAGGCTGGAGGTGAGGTCGATTATGGATGGGAGTCTGGAGGTGAGCGGGTCAGTGGTTTGTTCATAGCGGCGGCAGGGGACAATGGGGTCGGCTTACTTTGATTGAATGAAGTTCTCGCCAATCCAGCAGAAGAGTAGACTCCCGACGTTGTAGACCACGGAGCGGACATTGCGGTCGGAGAAGGTCGTGGCGTTTTGGCGGCGCGCGATTTCAGCGAAGCGTGGATGTTGCCATGTTCCTGTTTGGGGCGTGGATGGTGTTGTTTGCGCAGTTGGTGTTGACGGGGCTTTCGAGGGAGTTGAAAGCTTCATGACAGGGGCTGACATGATGACGCCTCAAGAGTTTCTATTGCACGGGTGTTTCGTCTCGAGTTTCCAGTCTACTGCATTGGGGTGAGGCCGTTGATTTATGTTGCTATGGCTTGTCAGTTACGATGGTCTTGACATTGCGTGGCGACAGCCAAATACCTTTCAATTCGGTTAGTCGGGCGTCTCCTCGGGGCGTTCAAGTCGAATTCCTGCGTGGTTAGTACTTCGTCTAGATTATCATTATTGTCGTTGATCAGTTGTCACCCATCTGGAATGCTTGAGGCTTTGTTTTGTTATGGCTCGTGAGATTCAAAGGCCCCCCCCTTGCAACGCTAATCAATTCTGCCACCCATATCCGCCTTCGGGGAGTCGGGCCCTGCCACGTAGACTACCAAGCTCGACGAGATTCTCAAACTCCGTTCTTCTCAACGTTTGTTGCCCAGCTCAAACTCATAACCGGCAAGATGGTAACCTTTGATAATATGCTGCTCGCGACGGACGAGCTTGTCACCCGCATCTTCAGCGATTGGGATGTTTACTCCACCAGCCTCGTCGGCGGCCTTATCATATTTGCTACGGTCCTCACGGTCTGGGGACGAGATCCTGATACCCACCCTATGCTATTGTCGCGCCAGGCGCAACCTTCACCAGTTCGAAATCCGGGAGAGTCGTCTGTGTACAGGTCTCATTCTTCGCCCCATGGCATGGAATTAAACACTGGGTTGAATGTCAAAGATCCGGGACAGAACAAATGGTCGAGGGGACGCAATGGAGATCTGAGAGATGTATGGAGGAAGGCTGTTAGAGGGAGGACTGATCCCGAGGGCAATCCTACCGGCGAAAAGGGACGCATTATTACCATCGTCGGCCCAGAGCAGACCGTTGACCACGATCTTGGTAAGCTTTCATTCTGGTGGTTACACCAATCTAATGTAAAACAGATGAGGTCTCGAAACAAATCAACATTATCGGACAATATCTTAAGCACCATGGAGGAAGCCGTGTGGCAATATACCTACCGAACTCAATCGAACTACTGGCGGCGCTTTTCGCGTGCACATTCTACGATTTAACGCCCATCATCTTACCCTACGATCAACCCGGGCATGTTGTTGCTGATATGCTAAAGGTTTCCGAGGCGGATACATTGGTTACAGCTGTGGGAAATCTACCATTCGATGCAGTCACCAAGGACTATGCAGGATTAAAGAACCTGATCTGGGTGGTCGACGAGGGCAGCAAGCACTTGGACTGGGATGAGGTCCCAACAGGATCCGGCGGTGCAATCCACGTTTCTACATGGCAAGAGGTTGTCGAAGAGCAATCTAACGTTTCCGCTGAGCTTCCGCCACTCGACAAGACCACGCCAAAGAATGTCCTTTCATTCTGGTTTCCCGAGATTCACGAGCCTGGGGAATTAGTCGAATACACTCATGGCAATCTCGTGTCCGCTATCTCCGCCCAGATCTCTGCTATCCCCACCACCCAGAAAATCGGCCGCTCCGACCTCTTTTTTCCAGCCGACTCGCTTTCTTCGAACTACACTCTCGTCCTTACCCTAGCCGCATTATATTACAATGCTTCTCTGGCCCTCAACTCAGTCGCTAGCCGTGAAACTAACCTTCGCAACGCCACCCGTGGCGTCGCCCCTACTATCATCGTAGCATCTGCACACACGCTTGCTCAGGTACATGCCAACACCGCAGCCAAGCTGTCGAACGTTGTGTATAACCTGATCCACTGGTTCCAAACCCGCACGCTCACCGAAAACGGTGTGATGCCGGTTGCCTCCATGTTCTCACGCCTCAACGACGGCCTGAAGCCAGCCATCGGAACGACTCCAGGAAAGCTGCGCTTCGTTTTCGTCTCTGAGCAGGCTGGTGGCAACTCACCGCCACTGAGCGCATTGGCGTTGAATGACTTGAGGATATTCACAGGTGCGCGGGTCGTCTATGCTTTAACTGCAGCAAAGGTTGCGGGTGCAGTGACACAGACCTCGTTTTACGATTATCGAGCCGGTCCTAAGGAGCCTGGACAATACTCGCACTTCGGAGCCCCTGTCAGCAGCGTGGAGGTGTTGTTGAAGGACACCAAACATAGGAAGGTGACGGATGAAGAAATACAAGGAGAGGTAAGCTCGCTTGACCCCATTGATGTGACACTGTGTTGACGATGCCAAGGTTGTTGCCAGAGGACCTGCCGTTGTTGGCGGCGAGGCTAGCTTGGGGATAGTTGGAAGAATCAACGAAGATAATACGCTTGCGTATCTGTAAACGTGAGGCTATGACTGGCCTTCGATGAGTATGTCGAAATATACGCAATGCAAGGCTAGAAGACGGCATTGTTTGATCACATTTGAAAGTCAAAAGGAGAAAATACTTATGATGTCTATTACTATTTTTGCAAGAAGTAATGCCCAATTGCAGTTTACCATCGTGATCTATCTATATTGGCTCTTTGCGACCTAACCATGCTTAAAAGTTGGTTTATGAAACACGGCAAAACATATGGAGAAATGCAAAGTTGATTCGTATATATCCGACCACATTGATATATTGCATACAACTCCTCAACCCATCAAATCGTCGCCCTTCTCCGACTTTTTATATTCTCCCTATCAATGGCCGCTTGTTCTCTCACGCATAGACTCATGACGTTGCTGGACCAATCCCCGCTGTCTGACCCCTCATCCCTGCCACCCTGACATCTACACCGTGCGAGAACAGCACATCTTGCATTACTTAGGTGCTCCCATCCGCCCATCTCTCAACAATCCTTTGTCTCCCTGTCCGGATGTGAATTATATTGGAGCACCGCCGGGGCGCTGCACAATGGCAGTCACAAACTCGAGCTCTGACTCGGCGCAAATGGCGCACGCGGCAGTAAGCAGCCAGAACAGCACGGCTATGAAAGCAACGCGATCCTCGGTGGCTTCCCACCATCGGAGGCGGTCGCTACCACTGAATTTCCAGGCGAATCTCTGGAGCGGCGATTCGCACCTGATTTCTAGCTCCTCCAAGGCTGAGATATCTCTCGTTGAAGGCGCCGCTGGGGTTGCGCAACGCGAACATACCCCAAGCCTTGACCATCCATTCGCAGTGCTCCACCAACTGCATGCTTCCACGCCACCGCGATCTCCGTCGAGGTTTCCCAATCCCGCGAATGCGGAGTTTTCGTCTCATCGATACACGAAGTCTGCCAGTGCGCGTAATTCCACGTTCTCGCAGCCCGTAATTGTGAGGACCTACTCCTCTCCCTCCTCGCGCCCATCATCGCGACAGCCGTCGTCGCCTCGGATCAAGAAGTCAATCTACAAGATGACGAAGGCCGAGCTCCCCCCAGTCGAGGCGTTTACGTTTAAGGGAATTATGGATAGCATCCAAGGTTCCGTGGCAGATGACTTGGATCGCATAGCCGAGATCTGTGCGAGGAGCAGGTACAGCCTGAGCAACCAGTACGAGGTGCACATGCCGCCTCACGGTGAAGGCGAAGCATTCCTACGACCCGTAGGAGATGAAGAGGTTGGCAGGACTACTCTTGCAGGAAGGGCAAGAGGGGCGAGGAGGCCGAAATCAAAAGCATTTGATACTCTCGAAACTATTTATTCAAGCAGCAGGAGTAGCGAGGGAGAGAAGGCAAAGAAGAAAAGCGCAATAGCGCTCGCAGAAGAAGTAAGAGGGAGGCAGGCCCGGAAACTAATTGGTGAAGGTAGTAGGGCTGATGAGGCTACGGATGCGGATGCGGATGCAGAACAGTCCGAAGTTAACGGCAGCGGATATGGTCGAGGGAAATCGACACAGAAGCACAAGCAGGCGCGCTCACAGTCTACAACATTTGCTTCGATGGTCATGGATAGCGTGCAAGCATCGCGTTGTGAAGCTGGTTCCCACCGTGCCAGTCCATCATCTCTAGTCAGCGAACCTCTACTTCCACGAACGAGCAATACACTCGAGCGGAAGATCCAAGGAGAATCCGTAACACCCGCCCCTCCGGAAACTATCGCACCCCCGCCATACGTGCCGAAAGCATCAACAGCTACCCCTCACACGAAATTCGCGATGCCGATCGATCAGCCTGAGACTAGGGCATCAGTGCTTGCGAATTTCTCGAGCTGGCTGCCGTGGAATAAAGCTTCTGAGAATAGCGATGAACCTGTCACTCCGCAGGACTTCATGCGCCAGAAGGCGATGTCGAGTGCAGAAGGCAGCTTGCGGCAGCTGTTGGGGCCGCAGGATAATGATCGGAGTGATCGGAAAGGCAAGGGAGTGAACCGCGAAGTCGGGTGAGTAGCTAGGGACTATTAAGAGACTATTTAGAGACACTAGTTCAGGATCAGGGAGCCAGATATCAGAGACAGTGCACAGTGCGATATGTAATTCGAACTGTCCGGGGTTTCTGCATTATCGACACCATAGGCAACCAAAAGAATGACAAGCTCGATGCTCGAGGGTCTGAGGCTCAGCCTCAACGGGCCATCACAGCGCATTTAATGCGCTGGCCCATGATTGCGACTAAAAAGGCCCCCAGTGACAATTAATTAGACTTAAGGTCCAAGGCTGGAGAGCCAATATTCAGCCCTATATATGGAAAGAACGATTATCAAGCAACCTCGGCCGCAGCTTCCTCAAAACTTTCACGCAGTATACTATGGAAATACCGATTACCAAGCAAGCTCAGTCGTAGCTTCCTCGGGATAAAACTGGATTGCAGGAAGGAGATGAGAACAGGGCGGCCGGTTGCGGAGTTAATTTATATGGACGAGAAGATTATTAGATGCATATCATAGTTTTATATGTTCATATAGTTCGTATTTTCAGTATCATATATAGATAACCCTATTCAAAATTTGCTACATAACGCTTTCAAACGCCGCGGAGAGTCCTCCATAATGACCATAGGTTACAGCACCCCCTAGATTCATACTAATATTTCAGTTCCAGAACCACCCTCCTTTCTTCCCACTTTCTCCTCTGTCATTATCCTTACCAGGTTCGCCATCAACCCGCCCCACATCTCCCGTTCTCCGTACTTGTTTCCCCCCCGACGGTGCCTGGACATGGGATGTTTCCGAAACCGATTTTCGTCCATCTTCAAAGCGTTTCTCGATGACTATCGTTGTCCGCACAGTTCCGTCTGCGTCCGTGTGCTGCGTTGTGGATGTCAACGAGGAAACCACTCGTTCGCTACTAGGCACACTCGTTGACGTCGCTTCTGTGGGGGATCCGAGACCACTGGCCCTTGAGCTTTTAACGTGCGCGGTGTTCGAGGGGGGTTGCTCGGATACCTCACTTCGCTTTCTGGTATCGGCGCCGGCGAAAACATCCCTAATACCCTGTCCTTCTGATTCTAGTCTGGCTAAAAGCTGGTGAACGATGCCACCGACACGCTTGCCATCCCCAGCCGGCTCTGAACCAGGCGCGAAAAACCGGTCATACATATCTTGTTCTGTCTCTTCTAAATGTGATTGGGAAAGTCCGTACTCATGTATATGTGACTGGAAAGTTCGAAGCAACATTGCTATCGGCGAAGCCGTCATTGTACGTATTTCCCCAAACCATGGGTTGAAGTGAACTTGCACAGACATGGGATCCTCTTGCAAAATGTTCTCGTCCACCAGAGATCCCATCCACATCATGCCCATATCGGCGAGAGACATTTTTGTAACGGCACCGGGAAATAATCCATATCGCGAGCCTGGCCAGTCGGGTTTGATTTTGTGGATTGAGTCGATCATTCTTTCTAACGGAGTACCCGATATATCTCGCATTGGCTTGCCAGCACTGTCTCGTAAGAGGTCCTCAAAAGCGTCACAATAAGTAAACTGATCTTTATCCCACCCCCAAGGGTCATCATTTGGTCGCACTGGCGGCATATCGGTCAAATTTAGCGGCGAGTAGGACGAGAACAGCAAATAAGGCACCACTGACTTGTGCGGAAATGCCGATGGTTCTACGCCCCCACGGGTTGTCCGCGCATCTATAAGGCAAGCATGCAATCTCTGTTGCATGCCCTCTTGTACTCCATGAGCGGATGATTCGTAGCGCCAACGGAATTTGTCGCCGGGCTGAAGCTCTAGCCAGGGGTGTCCTTTAGTAGAACGCTTAACACGGTCAATCATATAGTCGTCAAATGCAGAGAAGAGGTCGTAGTCGTCTTCATCGTGGTGTGATGGCCCAAATGCATCATTGCCGCCTGGTGATTGAAACTTCTTAACGGGAATTTCGACCTCCTCCTCCGGTGTATTTCCAGCAGCGCCGCTCTGAGGATTTTGCCATCGCGAATCGCCTTGGGTTCGGTGTGAATCGCCTTCTAATCCAGCCCAGCGACCGTTGTCGCTGTTGGGAGCTCGCGAGAGGATCGTGGGTAAGCCGATGATTCCCTGGAGCACTGACCCGACGTGGTTATCGACGATATTTCTGAATCTAACGAACGGGTTTTCGGTAGAGTTTGCGCAATCGGACACGCCGTCATCACGGGGTGAGTAAGAAGGCATGTCGCAGCATTGAATCGTAGAGAGTTGGGGCGTTGGCGGTTCTTGTTGAGATGCGGTGAATCTGGGGAAGCCAGGGTTGGGTGGATCCCTAAGATGGCGGGTGGCTAAAAAGGGATAAAGGGTTCGTGTGCGGGTAGCTCCACCAAGCTTCGCTCCGGGCGCTTAGCAGTCAATCCACCCGCCCTCATAATTCACCGAGGCAAGCGCCTATATTATTTCACATGTATAGATAAAGTCTACAGACGTATTTACTTGGATTATTTATTTCAGCCTTCGTTGTATGCCAGTTGCCTAGAGTGGCAAATTTGTTTGATTATACTGGTCTTTGTGAGAGACCCTGTAGTATTCGCCGGAAGGGGGTTACGCCCACTCATCTCGCGACCTCAACAGAGCTTTGGGCTAAACTTTAGCTCGGTGCTCATGTGATCACGGCTCAAGGCCACCCAACACCCCCTTAGTGGAACCCGTAAACCAGGACAGGGTCGACAGCCGTTGAGTGGCCTCGCCGGTTCCCATAGTACCACGGCGTCGGAGGTTTGGAGGCGTCTTCAATCCATCTCAGTTCATCGCTTTCCCCTCTTCTTGCCCGACGTTAGTTCCTGTTCATGGACGAAGCCGCCTTTCACAAATGCATCTCGAGCAACAGTGTTAATTATGCCAAATCTAGCCGGGCCGAGTTTCTGTCCCCCGTACCAGCGTGTCACAACAACTGTGACATTCCATAGGTCCATGAGCTGCATGAGATGGAGCAGCCGGCCTCCTGCAGCACTTTCCCCATCATCGTCGCAGTCTTGGTACGTGGCGCCATTATCTCCTTTGATTCGGTGTGCAGTAATGTTGTGGGTCGCCTTTGCAACCTTCTTGTCCGAATCAAGTAGATGCTGGAGATATTGCTTTGCTTGGTCAGGTGATGTGACTGGTGCGCATCGTGCAACGAAGACAGATTTGAGCTCCACCACGACATCTGATACCGTCCAAGGGGGCGCTTCATCGCCGGTGGCGTCAAGTGGCGGTTCAGGGGTATCCTCAAGACTAAGGTCGTCAACCGCTTCAAGCAACTCATCCTCATTGGCGGAATCAAGACGTGATATTACATCCTCAACAACATCGTAAAGGCAGACCTCGCCAGGCTGGAATAATCTCCCCACTGCATCTCGGAATACATCGAGAACGTAGGCAGCTTGTCCCTTTCTAGCATTCTCCCCCGACTTCTGGGTCCCCAAAATGGTTAGTGGCGCATCTGGGTAATCTTCAGGGAATTTGACCCTAAACGAGGTGTCTTGCTTGGGCAGATTCAAGACATAGACGCCTTGGTCCACCGCCACTAGCGTATCATCACCATAGATGGAGTTGATCGCCTCAATTTCATTTTCGAGGTCTTCGTTCATGTTGGCGGGGTATCGGTTACTGGAACGAACGTAGCTTGGTGGTTATGGCGGGCGCAAAACGGCGTGCCGCCACTGGTCTCGCTTACGGCGAATCTGGCGTCCCGTGGCGTCCCGGGCGCTTATCTCTATTTTTGAAGCGTATGGCGCTATGCGAGACAACGACCACTGTTTATGCTGCAACGTGGAGGGGGCCATATGGAGACTGGCAGATATGGCCCAATGAATATGGCGTGCCCCGTTATTTGGGATGAGTATGAAGCAATGCGCCGAACGGGGATGCCAGCTCCGCCTCCACTCTATGAGTGCTCGAGATATGGGTGTCTGTCTGCTATATATTATCCACCACGGCCTTCAAGTGCTTGCTTTTTCTTTTTGTCGCCGTTTCTTATTTGCAGTTCTCCTATTCTGTTGTCTCGTCCTTCTTTTACGTTGCATCGCTGGTCGATGATTTCTTCTGGCATCTACTTGGAGTAACGGCCGTGGATTGGGTTGCTTCATTTTTTACCATGGGCCCTCCAAAAGTCGTTGACTCGTCACAACCACGCTATGACTCTAATGGTAATAAGGTTCCCATATGGGAAGCTATTAAGGTGGAACTTGGCAAGGATGACAAGAATTCGTTGAAAAAGCAGTCCTCGTGGGATTCTTGGATATCAAAAACAACATCATGGGCCAGCACAACGGATGGGGACACTGGTAAGTCACAACCTGTATGGGAATCCCAATTACAAGTCACTAACGGCAACTCCAGAGCGGAAACCCCTTTGGAAACCGGCAACACTGCGGTTCCCAGTTCTAGGAAGCCTCTTCACGGTGACGGTTTTGATGATAATTGGCCTCGAAATTTTGGCATATCTCAGCATCGGTAAAAATAATTCGAATGGCGGCGGACTTGTTTTCGCAGCCACGGTCGACGACATATCCACGATTGCAACGGTGTCATATCTTTATCTCCCAACTGTGATTGCGGTTATTTACAGTATGGTCTGGAGTTGGGTTGACTTGGACAGCAAACGCCTTGAACCCTGGTTCCAGCTTTCCAAGCCAGAGGGTGCCACCGCAGAAGATTCCATATTGTTACAGTACCCGTTTGATTTCTTACCATTCGTACCGATACGAGCTGCACGCCGCAGGTAAGCCATTCTGGTCATGTAAAAATACAGTTACTGATATGCCGATTTGTAGACACTGGGCTGTTTTTATTACCGGAAGCACCATGATGCTCGTTGCGTGGGCAATTGTTCCCTTCCAGTCGGCCATATTTTCTAGAGGTACAGTCACTCGGACTAGAGAGGTTCTAATGGCTACCACTGGATCTTTCATACCTTTAGAGGAACAGACAGACGCTCTCAACTCTCAGTTCCTCAACACCGCGTATGGCGTATCTTGGCTTGGTCAGGAAGTACCTCCGTATACGACAAAGGAGTACGCATTGCAGCCATTCTCACCTGTGGCTGACGAGATCACACACTCGGGAAACGATACATGGTCATCCTCCACGCTCGCCTACTATACGAACCTTACCTGCACTCCGGCAATTATGAAACCCGGAGTAGTAAATACTAGCTGGATTTTTGACAACGGAAATGGATGTGTAACCTACGATATCGCTTTCTCAGGCGCCTCATATGCGGAGTTCTTGGTGATGTATATCCCATATTTCGACGATCCGCACAGCGATTGGTCGTTACAGAGCCCAAATTGCACCGCCGAGCACTCTGACAACTTTCTCGCCGTATGGGGAGAGCCACAACATATTGAAAATACCACCTTTATGAAATATGGCAATATTAGCGCTCAGTTTTGTCGCCCAACATATCATGTTCGACGCGTCACTGCCACAGTGAATGCTACAACTCATGCCGTTCTTAATATCGACTACGGAGATGCTACAGATACGGACACGCCGCTGCTAGAGACAGACTTCAACACCACAAGTTTCGAATATATAATAGGGACAGGTATAGCTGAGAATCAATTAAGCAAACCATTTGCCGGCGATTTACCAGACGTGTCTGTTATTGAACAATTTCCAAGGTTGGCCAAATTTAACCTGTCATGGCCAAATAGTAATATGGTTGGCTATGGAATGGCAGCTAGCTCTGGCCAACCAAAAGACCTCGCCAATCCTTCCGAGATGCATAAGGCGTTTGAGTCTGCGCACAAATTATTATTTTCAGTGGCAGTGGCAGCGATGACAGCTGCTGAAAGCCCAGAAGCGAATAAGCGAATGGGATTGCTAACAGATCAGCCAGGGAGCATCATTTTTGTGAGATCATTTTCAATTGCTGTTGAGGCCTTCTTGGCTATCGTGGGTATATTGACATGTGTTTTATGGGTGGTTTATCAGCAACGTCAGACCAACATGACACATGATCCGGCCTCAATTTCCGATATCATGAGACTTGTTTGTAGCGCCATAGAGCCGCTACAGGGCTTCTACGACAGCGGTACTCTAACTACCGGGCAGCTGGGGGAGAGGCTGAGCGGTCATAGGTATCGTCTTAACGCATATAAGAAAGGTGGCGCCAGTGAGATGCGTCTGGAATCTCTATCACAAAGCTTTGGGAAAGTTATCGACAATACTACCGAATTCCAGGCCAGCATCGACTGCCCGGAACAGTTTCAGACGGTTCGGCCGGTTGAACTCACGATTGCCACAGGAAGCATTGTGGGAGCAGTTATCATAGCCGCTATTGCAACATTATCATACCTATACTATCAAATTACGAAATTGAACGGTAACTAACTTGCACAGTTCCTACTAGAAGTTGTGCTGACATTATGCTAGGGTTAGCCAGGCCATCAACAAACCCACTTATACTCTCTTCCCTCGAGAACCTAGTGCCGACAGCATTTGCGACTCTCAACGAACCCTTCTGGATTCTCCTCAACCGGCTACTATGCATTCTACAACCATTTAGTGATCTACGGCAAGGAAGGGCGAGACCAGACGCAACAGTGGAAGCTAAATATACTTCTATTCCACCGCAGCTTGCCGCCTGGCGAGCTCTCAGGTCCGGCCACTTCCTACTGGCAACCGTCTGCGCCATGGCTATGTCCATGAACATACTCGCAGTGGCACTTAGCGGACTTTTTGACGAATCCTTGACAGATACAAAAATTTCCACAATTTCAAATGCAACTTACATTCCCCTTTTGAATAGGACTCTTCAGTTGGCGGAAAATACAGCGCCAATTCATTACAAAGACCACTTCTATGCTACTTTGGCAAATCTTAGAGGACATGCTCCTCTCCCCCCTTGGGTTGATAACAGCTTCTTCTATCTTCCTTTCGACGTACCGAATTTAAAGCAGGATTTTGACAATGAACTGCGCATTGACGAATATTCTGCACTGACTCGAGGGTTTGGTGTTGACCTCAACTGTGAGCAAATTTTCGAAGAAGGAGGCAATGATACACTGGTATTTCGCCCAAGCAAAAATGGCTCAAATATAGTTTTTGGCATGGCCCATAAACTGGCCGATGGTGGCGAAGTTGTCTGTGTCTCTACCATTTCTAGTCCGCCAGGAGAACTAGCCCCACTTCCATGGGAAGATGATACCTCTGCATCCGAGTTTGTGACTCCCCTGACACTATATAACGACACGGGTGATTCTTTACCCGACAACGGGTATTGCAGTTCTGCCATAGCTGCTGGATGGGTCAGGCTTGGTCCTGCGAGCTCTGCGGCGGCTGCGCAAGATACGGCCTCTACAAATAATACCGATGGGAGATCTCTCCAGACAGCGTTTATGCGGTGTCTGCCAACACTAAGGACTGCTGTCTTTAACGTCACCGTTGATACTACCAACCGTATTATTAATTCGACGAGAGAGAGCGAGTTTGACTCGGATCTCAAACCTTACGGAACGGAGGCTACAATTACGTCTTTAATGTCTCAAACATCGGCGCTACTTATGCCATCCACTGCCCATACCATCCGGTGGCACAATGACTCTATCGCTATGGACTGGATCAACACCCTTTTGAAAATAAAATTCAACTCAGATCTGTTGAATCCTGCCAAGCCCATACCAGATATTCCAACAACTATCCCCCACTTCGCTGACATATATCAACGACTAGCTGCAGTGATGTTTTCATTTGATGCGGCGCTATTTGAGAAAGCACCAGCAAATTCTACGATCACGGTCATAGCCCATGCCAAAGAGACTCGAATTTTCATGACTTCTACAATGTTCTATATATCTATCACCATTCTAGTTCTCCAGCTATTCGCCCTTGTGGCCTATTACGCAATGCGGCCCCGTCGATTTCTACCAAGAATGCCGCTCTCTATCGCCTCAGTTATCGCATATGTTTCAGCCAGCCAGGCGGCCCAAGATTATGGCAACCAGTCTAGTGGAATGTCGTCAGAGACGAGATATGGATATGGACGTTTCAAGGGGGCCGACGGCCGTACCCATGTGGGAATAGAGAAAGAACCTCTTGTTGTACCTTTAAAGAGCAAGAATCCAGAAGCAAAAAGGCGAAAGTGGCGATTTGGCCGGTCATTACCGCCTGAAGAACCGCGGATTTGGATCTAGTTGGTTTCTTTCTTTTCGAATAGGTCAGTTAATACCGCTGAAGCCGTATACTCAAAAAACTATTTATAATTTAACTACTTATAATTTATCATAACTTATTCAAATTAAACGGTTTTAATGAACTTACTATGGTTAGTGGTGTGTGAATAGCAGGGGTACTCGGCCCGCTCAAATAGGTTTAGTTTAAAGCGGGTTCTACTTTCCAGGCTCAAATTTTGACCTGGCTCACGTACGTAGCTCATCAGACGAGCGAGTCACATAAATTTCATAAGAGTTGGAAGTTAATATCTTTTAATTCCTAGACATGTTCCTTGCTCTGCCCCCTATATTCTGACACAACACAAAACTATGTACAAGAATTTGTGAATCCATGACGCCTGACCCATGTCCCCAAACCTTAAAAATACACAATTACATCGACCTGCGATATATTGTGCTCCTTACGAAGAGTAAGCCAGGTGACGGCGGACGTGCTCATTGGAGAAGCGGATTGCGCGTCTTGGCTTGGCGGCGTTGACGATCTTCATGTTTTGAGACATGCCAGTCTTGCAAGTGGTTCCAGCGGCGACGGACTGAACGACAGACCAGTGGCCAGAAGCGCAGCGTTGGAAGGAGGTTCCACTGATACAGTTCCATGAGCCCTCCTGGCCTGGGCAAGGTGTGCCAGCGGCGGTCTCCAAGCTGCCAGTGGTGGTGTCGGAACCGTTGTTTGTTGAAGAGCCTGCATCAGGTACGACAGCGGCGGGTGCGTATGGGCTGGAGGTGACGTTCGTGGGAACAGCGGGCGCGGCGGATGCGACAGGAGCGACAGAGGCAACTGGGGCAGAGGTCGCGACAGGGGCGACAGTTGCACTTGCGTTAGGTGCGACGGTGACGAAAACGCCACCCTGAATACCGGTGGGGGTGGCAACAGCAGACTGTGTCGGCTTTGGGGCATCGGATGAACTGCCACCACCAGATCCGCCAGTTGAAGCCTTGCAACTTCCCAGTGGTCCGCCAAGCTCACCTGATCCGAGCTTCTGAACGGACTCCCCGGCGTTGGGGAATTGAAGATCCACTGTCTCCGCAGTGCTGCAGCCATTGTCAATGTTTGCGGTGAACATATCTGGGAGAGCGTCGTAGGCGGCAGTGTCGCGCTTTGACTTCGAGTTGCCTCCGGTGATGTCGATTGGAGCACAGTTCATGTACATCTCGCGGTTGCCGACCTTGTTGAACCAAGTCCAAGCAAGAACGGCATTGCCAGTTGGAAGGCTGTTGGGGATGGTGAAGCTGTAATCATCCGGGACCGGGGTGTCAGGGCCACCGCCGAGGTTGCCGTCGACGCCACGCGCTGGGCAGCCTCCCTCGATCGAGTGGATGACCTTCCAGACGCTATCCTTTGTTGGCTTCTCGTCGTATGTGATGGAGATCTGGCATGACCCACCACCGTGGACGGCGCTGCCAACGAAGTTCAAGGGCTGCGTGGAGCCGAGGGCCATGGGATTGCTGGCACCCTCTGGGTCGTAGACGCCACCGCGCTGCTTGCAAGGGAAGTCGCTTCCATCAGCGAGAAGAGGGCTGTTGTTGAGAGTAGACTTTCCGAAAGGCTTCGGGGTGGTCATCATAATGTGGGCGCTCGCGTACGAGGCCATGCCAAGAGTGGCAACGATAGAAGATGTGAAATGCATGTTGATAGTTGTGTTGGTAGTTCGTGCCGGACGAGATACAGAGACAAGATTTCTAGGCTTTTATATTGCCAAGTGAATGATGCTAACGAATAATGTTAGCCCCCAAGTATCGGGTGGAATATTCGAGGTCGACAATAGGAACAATACGGCTATTGAAGGAAAGGGCCAGAACACCACACAAGTCTATTGTCTCGCTAGAGGCAATACTGGAGTGGATTTTGATAACTCCCAAAACAGCAACAGAATAATATTAGAAGGGTATTACATACTGTATACGTTTGCTTAAGCAAGATCGAGTCTTTTAGACTTGGCGATTGAGGGAATGTGAGTTGGATATCAAGGATTGTAACGGTTTGCAAATGCCACAGGCAGGAAATAAGGAATGATAGATCTCCGAATATCGAATTCGTTGAAGAGATGTAGGTCTAGCCTGTAAAATGAAGTGCAAACAAGAATGTTTAATCGCCAAGGACTTGTGAGAGGAAGGGGGGGCTTTCTGGGTTCTTTATAGCATGGAGATGGGACGATAGGGGAAGGGAGGCAAATTCACAAGTCTCGGGAGCCATAGTGGTTGCTGACTTGCGTAGATCCTGTGGATCCGAGTACATACAGTATGTTGTATCTGCAGCAGTGGGCTAGAGCGCGCTACTCTAAGCTCCTTGGAATGGCGAAGGAAGCAGTAGGAAAGCACGGTGGACGGAGCACAGACGGGAGGTGAAGCATAAACATTTGCGGAGTATGCGTGGAGCAAATGTGGTTTGTCCGATGGAGTCCCCTACACATGAAAGTCTGACAAGCTAGTGTGCAAGGTTTCGGTAGGGGGTGCAAAAGGGATTCCGGAGAAACGGCTTGACTGGATACGAAGCGATCCTGGGCGGAGTCCGAGTATGCAACGACTCCACGACACGGGAGGGAACCAAAGACATGATGGGTAAGGATGCGATGAGAGTGGCTGACCGAAGGACGCGGACGTGGCGTGTAAAAGTTTGAAACGATTTTTTCTTTGTCACTTGTAGCCCGACCGTGTCTTCACCTTTAATGACTCGTAGCGTAGCCTTTGTCTGGATGATGTCCGACGACATGGGTACGACATCGAGGAGTATCAGTTAATCAAAGGATATCCCCCAAGCCGGAAGGGTAAAATTCGAGGTGGCGTCGATATCGTACCTGCATTCTTGCTTCTTCCCTCAGTCACATGTCTTGAGGGTGACGCGTTATTTTCCAATGGTGGCGCGAATGGAATCCCAGAAGCCGAAGTCACAGGGGTGCGGCGTGGGGCAGGATCTATCCTGCCAGCTGGCAGGCCTCGAGAACGGCCATGAACAGGCGCCACACATGGCCGTTCGGAAGATACCAAATGCCTGGAATAGCACCAAACCACCACTCATAATAGCGACAGTGAACACTGTGCGCCTACACACAAACTCCCATAGGGCTGGTATCGGAAGGAATCAGCGTTGTGAATTCCTCACCGCGATTTCAAAAGTCCAACAAGAAGCGCGTGTTCTCCAACGTCGCAGAATTCCTCGAGGCTGAAAAGATAAATTTAGGAGGCCGCAGCAAGAGTCTCCCTAGAGCTTGATCAGGCTTCAACATAATAATCCGGTGAGGCCGCTGCACGAGACTCCCCCAGAGCAGCTGTGATCAGGCATCTGGGGAGGAGTTTAGCGGTACACAGCCACTGCCAGCCCACAGCGCAAGGCAGTGGGAATGCACAGGCAAGGCACAAGCTCCCAGCCGCCTCTCAGCTGGTCCTTGACTTGCACTAGAAAAACTGGATGGTACGTCCCGCAAAACCGGTTGGCTCACGTCTGGTGGACCTCAACGGCCCACTTACCAGCCACCACTGGGAATACCTTCCATCTCGAGTACCCCCTACTTCTCCCCGAACCCTCACCAAGCATGGCCAAGGATGACGCGACCAAGCGAGACCGCTTCGTGACCACCTTATTCGTCCGTCCTGTATCTGAAACGGCGCCTCGTCTCAGCATAAGAAATTTTATACGACTTACACGTCGGATAAGACAAAGCGAAAACGAGGATAGGACAACGGATGAAATGGGGATTGGCATAAGGTGGCATCTTGAGCCTTTGAGTGGTGCTCGCCGTCAAATTGATCACTTTGGCTTCACGTTTGCTTGGCTTGTACCCTCCCTCCACAGTAGGACTCGGATTGGCGATTTGACTGACCGGAGTGTATCATCTGTACCATGGTAGCTGAGTGGCGGGCTCGGAGCGTTGTCCAGAGTCGCGATTCGTACGTACTTCGTTCTCCATATTACTTTGAGATTCCTTTCGGCGACATTCGAGAGATCCACAAAGGCGAGACACCGCCGCCAAGCAAGTCCGGTTCCCAGCCTCTTATCTGTTTTTTGCTTCTGTACCAATCCCTCTCAAGACTTCCACCGCTTTGCGGGCCTACCTGGGGAGGAGAAGAGGTCGGTGAACGCCTCATGCACCTACGCGTAGATCACGTTGCTCGAGTCTTCAACTTCCCCCAGTGGGACATATGGCCCGTTGCCTCTTCTCCCTCTCCGAAAACCGTCGTCGGGATCGACTCAGGGAAGAGTGGCAATATTTTGGCAACGTCGCATTTGCCAATGTGGATATCGTGATCAGGGCTTTGCGGAGGCATTGCAGCGGATGCTGTGCTATTCTTGTCATGAAGTGTCACGGCTTTCTGCTGTGTAAATTGCCTTTATGGGTCTGACATTAATGATCTGAGCTTCTCAGCGTCCCTTCCTGCACCTAGACGTGTAATTTAGCTATTCGTCATGCACTTGGTTCCATAAACAGATATTCTGCCTTGTCAAACTCCAGAATCTTGAGCTGGCCATGCATCGATCCACCTTGTCATAGAGTAACTCTATCGCCGAGCTCAAATCATCGTGACACCACAGCGGACGCTCCCGACGTGAAGCAGAATGTCACCATCAATTAATTACCTTGCCGACCCATCATCTCCGGTCTTGGCACCAAGAGAAGCTTCTCAGCCAGGCCCCAGAAGAACCTTCCCCATCCAGCAGTCAACGTTGCGTCTCCTGGATCTGAAACTCTGGCGTGTGGGGTTGATCACACGTGAAGAGTGATTGATATTGAGCCACGTGATTTGCTGGCTTTGTTTTGACTTGTGATATGTGATTTGCTGGCTTTGCGACTTGTGATAAGTTATGTGATTCGCGATTCGTGAATTCGTGTGATGCGTTTCACGTTTCGAGTTGCGCCAGAATCTGGACAGATAAGTGACGTGGCGATGTGTTTGCTGTTGTGTTTGGTGAGATGGGATGGTTGGTATGTGCATAATAATACATGAGATGATGTGAAACAAAATGAGGATGATGGGATGGGATAGGAGCGAAATGAGGGAAGGATTCTTTTTCGTGGTTGGTTGTGACGTTACGCGCCATATGGGTCGGAAGCAGATGAGAGGATGGTCTGAGGGGATAGGAAGACCAACAACAATACACCAACAATACACGTAGGCGAAGAGAATGGCGTTCTCTCCTGCCTCAACCCAAGCTCTCTTGTGGTTCTATCTCTCTTGGAAATAGGAGAAGGAAATTGCCAATCTTTTGTTACATGCTATTGACTCCACCTGTATGTCAACATTTTCCATTCTCTACCTATTACACGCTGTTCGGCATGTATTGCATCTACGGGTAATTTCAGATCTACAACTGCGTCTTTGCGGGACGAGCATCCAGATCCATACAAGATCGATGCTCGTCGGAGTCAACTGCTCACACCGCGCTCATCAATGCATCCGACTCCCAATCCTCAGCTTCCTTTGCAGCGATGCCGGCGACCACCGAGGCGATCCGGCGCTTTTCTTGTTCCTCGTCTTCAACGTGCCCCCCATCAATTTCAAATCCCTTCTCTGTTTCGGGCGCCCCTCCTTTCCCGTCGCCGTCTTGGCTCCCCCTTTCTGTTCCGGAGTCATCATAGTGGTCGACCGTCCCGTCGTTCTCAGGTCCATCAACCCAATTCTTCATCTTCTCGCTGCGAAAATCCGCAAATAACCACTCCTCACTCTCAAGACGGTCCTTACCCAGATCCCACACATAAGTCTCCGCCCTCACCATGTTCCTTTCCCCTTCTTTAAAAGCATTGACTTTCTCCATCTCCTCCGCTTTGATGTTCCCATATGCGTCGAATACCTCGGCCTCAAGTGCCTGTACCTCGATAAACACACGTTTGTACATATCGCCTTCAAACTGATCCAGCCAACTCACATCTGCCTTGCTAAGGCCACTTATCAGAGTCCCGAGAACCGTATGGTTTTTCTGTGCAATGATACCGGGAAAGTCCGCATGGCGGACCTTTCGGCAGGAATAGTTTCGCAAAAGTGCAGGAGAAAGGCGGAGGTGAGAGATAAGTTCCGGGAGAGGATTTTCGGTACCATAACAGACACGGTATAAAATCTGGGGAACCATCTACGAGGTCGTTAGTGGAGGGTTTCCGATAGAGGGATCCGAGAGAGAGCGGGGTAACGAGTTGCTCACCAGGGTGCCATAGACAAAAGCTGTTCGGCCATTCTCAGGCACAGAAGAGAGGGAAATTGACGTGCCATCTCCACCCAAGCCTGACATTTTGTCTGTTGCAGTTTCCGTTCCTCTCTCAAAGCCTATGTTGGGTTGTGAAGTCTCACTTTCGGCTTGCCCCTCTTAGTAGGATCTGGACTGTCACTTCAGCAAATGCGTGTTGGAGAGTGCAAGAGAGCGGTTGTAAATTTCCAAAACACAAAATATTCAAGATGGCCCTCCTATGTACGAGATATTTAAAACATATTGACAAAGAAATAAAAAAAAACAAAACGGCTTCAGGCAGTTGGAAGCGCCCCAACACAACCAACAAAGATGAGAAGACAAGGAAGGTGGTGCCTGGTCTGGGGAAAAGGCGCTAAGACAGCATTGGTTAGTAAGGGGAAAGTATATTCCGAGGCAGTCCGACGCACACATACCAAAAATATTTTGACGACGCGTCCAAAAATTAACTTCATCACTCTTGCAGCCACTGAACCATTATGATTCTCTGAGCTTCTTTATTGATTCCCTGCCAATATATGACAACTATACTAGTTTTTGGCTTTATTAACTCTTTGAGATTCCTCATACCGATGCTAGACGTGAATCCTCTCGCACCTCCCAGACAGATTCTATCACAAATCTACGAGTGACATTCGGGCTTGGAATTCTGGATTCTGGATTTCAATCCTTTGCTCATAGTTATCAAGTTCTCATGCAGAGGCAGGTATCCTCCCCAAAAGCCCAGACATTTCTACACGTCGTGCTGTCGTCTGAACTTTAGGTCAAGCTTCCTGCCCCTTCCTTCACCGACTCTTGACTCCCACCAAATGCGCCAAACTATTCCACATTCCATACTATAAGCATACAAGCTTCCAGGATTGTGAACTATACGGGTCCTTCTTTTCTGCCGTCATTACCCTGCTGCTCTTTTGGTTTCCATGCTCTTCTTGGTCTGAACTGGCGTGGTTGTGTTGTTCACAGTGGTACTTACTACGACCGTGAGGAAAGCCGAATCTTTTAGCAGGTATATCACCGTCCACCCCTCATCAGTCTTTGCTCTCTGTCTTCAAACAGTTCTCAAATGGATACGATGCCTAGGAATTAAGGGATTTTAGGTTAAAGCCGCCGTGTCTCTTGACCACCTCTGTGGAACAGATGGCCGGCATGTCTTCATGGCCGCACTTCCATTCTGATCCCGTGTCTTTCATATATTTATTTCACTCGTTATTATCTTCGACTCATTACTGACAATTCCCAAGAATATAGGGTAATCCAACAATAATCTGAAGCCAAATTTACCAGCAGTCACAATTGTAAGGCCCCCCTTTCATTTTCGACTTTCCCACCACCTACTTCCTCCCCAAGTTATGTCCCTGCAGCATATGCAACCGGGGCGGTGGAGTCACAAACCTCAAATCAATACGGAGCATAATATGATGATTATTGTTCCCTATTACATGAAAGCCGTTATTAGGAAGCGGCGACGGGATTATCGTACATGGTATATTCTGATTATGCATCCATCTCCTGAGCTCAAACTTATCGTTGTCCAAATATGGAGTCAGACCGACCTGCCTTGCATCGGGATATGCTGACGTTTTCTGGATTAGGTACTCCTGAATATTTTATGGTAGATAGTTTTATCAAATGCATAATCTTGAGAAAAAAGAAACCCAATGCTTCAGCTCCATACTCATGCAACCCAAACGCCTCTATGACGTCTGTATCGGAAACTTCAATTATGAAAGTTTACAATTACTCACAAAAATAAGGCCGATTTATCACTGGCTGTAATTATCATCTTATATGAATTTGTAAGGGAAAAGGTGTATTATAATGACTGATATAGGTAAATCTACACGAGGTTGGCATATAATATCGAGACTTATCCCCCATCGAGGTGTGCGGCATACGCCCAACCTTGGTAACTATGCCACAACACCACTACTATAGTCACTGACGAGAATAGGGGTTGAAAACCGTCCCCAGTACAAACTTTTCGATTGACTTCGTGCTCCACGCTGAGAAGTTTGCCTGTGACACCCGCTTCGTCAGCATGTAATGTAATCCACCTTTGTTTCAGGTTTCACGGAAAGAAACTTGCGTCTGAGTTGGATTGGAGTAGAAGTCAGTCTGGGAATAGAGGTGAGGGGGGTTTTCTTTTCTTTGGGGTGTGAGATGGGCTCAGGGATTTTAAGCTACCGAAAATGAGAGATATATATATCAGCTAGTTATAATATCAAGCTTAGATCCAAATAGATATCACATCCACTACCCCCGCTTCTCACCCCCCTATCACCGCCTCACCGCACCCAACTCCCACCTCCACCACCCCTTAAAATCATGGGTATGCACCTCAATCCCCAACTCCTTCAACGCCCTCGTACTAAGATGACAATCAAACGGCCTCTGCACCCCCGTATTCCCCTCATTCCCCCTGACATCCTTCTCCATCTTCTCCAACCCCAACCCCATCAAATGTGCAAACAGCTCACACATCTCATACTTTGTATACAGATCCTCCGCCGAAAACTGCAGTATCGCCGGCAACCCCTCCGCCCTTCCGGCTTCGATCTTGGAAATGTAGAGCGTAGCGATATCAGCAACTACCCTCCCTACATCCTCGGTGTTCGTGGGGAAGCGCTTCGCCCAGCCGTCCATAACCACTTTCTCCTTCTGAGCTTTCCACACCGCATCAACCAACGAATTCACCGCGCTATCAGCATGTTTATCCGCTTTCCCATACAGCACCGGGACCCGCAGCACCACACCCCTCCCCTTCCCTCCCGCAGCGGCATAAGCCTCCCCCACCGCCTTCTCCCCCTCTAACTTCGTCATACCGTATAAATTCGTCGGCGCGGGCGTGGCGGAGGTCTCATAGGGCGCTTCGCCCGGGGCGCCGGAGAAAACGTAGTCGGTGCTGATGTAGATGAGGACTATCCCGCGCTGGGCGGTTTGCTCGGCGAGAGAGCGGGTCGCGGCGACGTTGAGGGCGCGGGCGGCGGTGGGGTCGCGGTCGCACGAGTCGGGGAAGCGGTTTGCTGCACCTGGGGGGTGTTAGTTTCAGCTTCCTTCGAGTGTGTAAAGTTCACGAGGAAGGGAGGGCATACAATGCACAACGACGCTGGGCTTCACATCATCGAGTGATTTGGCCACTGCAGCGGAATCGCCAAGGTCAACGGCGAGAATGGCGGGGGGATTGGCGCGAGTGAGGCCAGTGCCGGTTACGGACCAGGATTTGCGGTTAAAGGCTGTTGTGACGGCGCGGCCGAGGAGGCCGCTGGCGCCTGTTACGAGGGCTGTTTGGGAAGACATGGTGGTGGGTGTTGTGGTTGGGTTGGGATGAGGTTGAGATGGAGGGGTTGGGGTTATGTGGGAGACGGGATGGGATGATGTCACGGTGCTTGGTTTATGTTTGGAGCCTGAATTAAAATATTATAGAAGCTTTTTGTTGACATTTGTCCAGTGCAACCGATCTGAGTGAAGCCTTTTGTTTACGGTGTTGTTGCCTGGCCGGGTTGTGCTTCATAATACACCGTCATATAGCCCAAGGCACCAGCATCAGTCCATCGAGATATCTTCCAGAACTCTTGTCTCCTTCAACCCAAGGCCAGTGTTGTTTCCAGTATCCATCATCCTGCCCATCGTCCACAGTAGTTCTTCTTCTTCTTCTTCTTCTTCTTCTTCTTCTCCACAACCACCCATCAAGAGCAGCACGCGATGAAAAACGCAGTGTTTATTCTCTCTCGAGAAAGTCATGTTCCAAAGATTCCCTCCCAGTCCTAGAACCGAGAGGAGCGGTCATAGTTATAGTTTTCAACTAGCAAAAATGTGATCTCGGACGAATCCTCACTGATACACATAAAGCCCGTGCACTAGGTTAAAGAAGAAAAAAGAAGAAAAGAAGAGGAAAAGGAACTGGGGCGGAGGAAGACTTTATAGTCTGGATGAGCCACGCTAAGCGAGAGGCGTGGTTGCGCCAAATCGGGAAAGGCGTGTTGGGCAAACACTGCAAACTTTTTACTAACTTACGGACTCCGTAGTACGCTGGTCGGCGCATCCTGGTAGCCTCACGGCCTCACCTTCAAAGCCTCGCCGTTGCACCAGAATATTAATATCAGCTGAAAATTAAATTATACATCATCTACCCTCCATTCAAAACCTCAAAATATCATCCCATCTCCCAATCCTTCAAACCACTCCCCGCCTTCAAATCCAACCTATCCCTCACCCTCGCCCTCAATCGCCGCTGCCTTTCCCCATCGGAAGCCTCGACGCCAACCTCTTCGCCGCTCCTTTCCACCCCCCAGTCCCTGGCTTCGAACTCGTCCCCGTAGTCGAACTCGTACTATACGAGGTCGGCTTCTCGCCACCAATATTCCTCCCCATCCCCGTCTGATAGCCACGCGACCCCCTCCCCGACGCTCCCTCACCGAGGTGCTGCGAATCGTCAAAGCTGCGCATGCTACTCACGCTCCCCATGCTGCTCCTCCTCGGTCCGTAGCCAGGATCGCCCGCACGACCACCGGGGTTATACGAGTCCTCCGTGGCGGAAGCAGAGCGGGGACCGCGTGCGGCGCCGGCGTTGTAGCTGTCATCGTCGTAGTAGGACGAGGTGCGGTCCTGGCCCCTGGTGGTGCCCATCCCCGGGTTGCCTTGGCTGCCGAAGGTGTGGGAGCCGCGGCGAGGGGGGAAGGCGGCGGGGCCCATGCCGGTGTTCTCGACGTTGTCGGTCTGGCCCCAGCCCTGGGTGTTCATCTGATCGGGGTTGTCGTAGCCGCCGCCGACGTATCCGGTGGTGTTGTCGTATGAGGACATTGTGTGTGTTTGTGTTGCTGGTTCTCTCTTTTGTTGGAATTTGTATTGGGGGGTTTTGGAATCTGTATTTTGGGGTTGATACAGCTCGATGAGGGGCTGCGGGAGGGTGTATATATAGGCATGAGGAGGCCATACTGGGACCTCCTCGATTTTCTGGTTCCACCTCACATCCTGCGCGCGTGAGGTAAGAAAATATGGATAGCTGTGGAAAGTTTTAGTGGGTATGATTGTGCGAAGCTCACCCGCGCACAGCTATAGCTATTGGAGACGGAGCTCACCGACCACTTAGGGGTTGCAAATGTCAAGACTAGGGGCAAATTCGATCTCGATCGAAGACAGGTCAGTTTTTTACCAGGTACGATATTTGTGGGTAAACCAGAAAACTTTACGCTACGTAGATTGAGGGCGTAGTAACCCGAGTTTGAGGATTTGGGGTCCAATTGGGGATTTTCTCGTGACATTATCCATGATGTCATGGACGTTCATACCCAGAACAGAATATCCCCGGTCAGCTCACATCGGTGCGATCAAAGCTAGAGAGATAAGATACTTGTTGATTACGTTCTCTGTATATTGCTCCTAGTTGATACTATAGTAAATTTGCATCAGCTTGTAGTCTTGTAGTCTTGTCTAGTGTAGTCTAGCTATCAGTATCTTAACTTTAGAAGATTGCATGAAGAATCGAAAGGACTTTTAACCCTAGCGCCTCACTTTGTCCTCTTGTAAACCTTGCCCAGGAAGCTCTCAAACACAGACTTCTTGAGTCCCTCGCTTTCATCAGTCTCATCAATAAGCTTCCTGATCTTGTCAACCTCGCTCTCCTCATACTCCTGGTATAATTTCTCCAACCCCAACTCGTTGTACAGCTTCTTGACAACAGCCTCGTTATCCTTGTTCTTCCTGCCGTAGTTCTCGTCGAGGACCTTGCGCTGTTCTGGCGTCGCGATCAAGAGAGCCTTGTTAACGAGCCACGAGCACTTGTTGTCCAAGATATCCGTCCCGATCTTGCCAATGTGCTCTGGGTCGCCGAAGTTGTCAAGGTAGTCATCCTGGATCTGGAAGTAGGTGCCGAGGAGGATGAGGATGGCCTCAGCCTGCTTGAGGTTCTTCTCGGTGGCGATGCCAAGCTGGTGGAGGGCAAGCGCGACGGGGAGGTAGAAGGAGTAGTATGCAGTCTTGTAGATGACGATGAAGGTGTACTTCTCCATGGAGAAGTTGTCCAAGTCGACCTTGGTCTCGGGTGCGGTGAGCAGATCACAGGTCTGGCCAAGCTCGGTTTGGAAGGTAACCTCGTGGAAGAGCTCCATAAGGTCAATGTACGACTTGTGCGAGCGGAAGTACTTCTTCAGGAGAATGTAGATGGCGGACTCGAGCATGAAGGCGTCGTTGATGGCAATCATTCCAACCTCAGGCTGGCGGTACCAGCAGGGCACACCGCGACGGGTAATGCTGCTGTCCATAATGTCATCGGAGACGAGGAAGTATGCCTGGAGGAGCTCCGTCAACCAGCCGAGGGTTGCTGCCTTGAAGTACTCCTCCTCGTTGAGCTCCTTGCCGGTCATGAGCGAGACGGAGTCGGGAACGGACATGCCGCGGTTGCATTTTCCGCCGATTGCGTTCGCATTTAGGCTCTATAAACTCGTTAATTGGGCTCGGACATGTGGTGTGGCCCGCGTACGTTCTTGAACCAATCCAGAGCCTGCTGGGGAAGGCCATAGGACTTTGAGTGGGCGAGGACATCCTCAACAAGAGTTGGGAAGATCGACTCGAACTTCTCCAGGGCGGCGGACTTGGCCATTCTGAAATTGAGAATGCGGAGATGTGAGTTGAGGTTTGGGGTTGTGTTTGGAGAGTAAATGCGGGGGACGGGAGAAGATCTTATGTGAGATGGAAGGCTGGAGGGGCTTGTCCCGACCCCAAGCGGTTTGGCGGTGTGCGAAGTGGGATAGCTTGGATGCTAGGGTCGGCAGAATATCCGGCGCGACAGGCATTATCAACATCGCGGTTCCTAAATTGAGGAATTCATGTAAAACAGACCTTGCTGCATTTCCCACGTACAACTGTAGATTCGGAGGGCCACTATATTTGCCGAAGCTGGCAGAGTTTATAAATTGGCTTGCTGTACTTCAAGTCTTCCTCTCGGAACGAATCTCCGAGTTATATATACAAGTCACGCGCGTTGTACCTGCGAGGCCAGATATAGCGCCCCAGCTCCGCAGAGACGATTAAGCAATCGGAACCACCAAAACTTGGGCTTGAATAGCTGTGGGTGGGACTAGCGTACCAGGGATAGGCGACAGCGACATGGCTCTCAGCGAGCGAGAGACGGGCCAGCTTCGCGCGGCACTCCAGGAAGCAGTAGTGAAGTGCTCAGAGAGATGTCTCTACCAGTCGTCGAAATGGTAACATATTATTCTCTCTGTAAGATACAAGACTAATCAAGTATATACAGGGCCGCAGAACTACTCACATCCCTTCCCGAAGAAGATGCTCCAGAATCCGAAGACTCGCAAATGACCGAACTACTGGCCAGCGGCATGCCACCTATTGTTGTGACGGGAAATTTGGACCCCGAAGAGTCGGCACTGGAGGCGAAAGAGATAAACAAATATCTACTAGCGAAATCGTTCTTCGACTGCCGCGAGTTTGATCGCTGTGCAGCGGTGTTCCTGCCGGAAACAATGTTAGAGGGAGTCTTGTCGACGGAGCCATTAGGTGCCACTCAGAGTCCTGAAGCGTCGAAAGGAAAAGGCAAGGCGAGGCAATCAACACCGATATCACACCCGCCATTGAGCGCCAAACTACCCAGACTGAGCCAAAAGAGTTTATTCCTTGCGTTGTATGCGAAGTTTATGTCTGGCGAGAAGACAAAGGACGAGGACAGCGAAATGGTTATGGGCCCGCATGACAGCGGGAAGACGATAAATAAGAACTTGGTGACGATAAGCAGGTATCTAGAGACTTGGTTCCAGGAAAGGACCACCGAAAGAGGAGAAGTCGTGGGCTCCCAGGGGTGGCTGGAATACCTTTACGGCATTGTCCTCGCGAAAGAGAAGAACGAAGAGGAGGCCATGCGGCTACTCATCAGAAGTGTTCACTTATACCCCATGAACTGGGGCTGCTGGTTAGAAATGACCTCTCTAATAAACCGCGTCGAAGATGTAAGCCTCACTGTTCCCAATTGAGCCCATACTAACACCCCCAGCTCAACCGCATATCCCCCCACCTACCACAAAACATCCTCTCCTTCGTCTTCCACCTCCACACCTCCCTCGAACTCTACCAATCCACATCATCCCTACACACTCAACTCCACCAACTCCTGAGCATCTTTCCCACCTCCCCTTTTCTCCTAACCTGCCTCGCCCTCCTCGCCTACCACACCAAAGACTTCATAACCGCCGAATCCCACTTCTCTCGCCTCCTCGCCCTCCACCCTCACCGTCTCGACTCCTTAGACCACTACTCCAACATCCTCTACGTCATGGCCCTGCGCCCCAAACTCTCCTTCCTCGCGCACCTCTGTTCTGCCACCGACAAGTTCCGCCCCGAAACCTGCGTCGTGATCGGGAACTACTACTCTCTCCTCTCGCAACACGAGAAGGCCGTAAACTACTTCCGCCGCGCCCTAACCCTCGACCGCGCCTGCCTCTCTGCCTGGACACTCATGGGCCATGAGTACGTGGAGCTCAAGAACACGCATGCGGCTATTGAATCGTACCGTCGCGCTGTTGACGTCAATCGTCGGGACTACCGCGCCTGGTACGGCCTGGGGCAGACCTACGAGGTCCTCGAGATGCACGCCTATGCGCTGTGGTACTACAAGCGCGCTGCGGGTCTGCGCCCCTGGGACGGCAAGATGTGGATGGCTGTGGGCTCGTGTCTTCAGAAGATGGGCCGCGACGCGGAGGGCATCAAGGCGCTCAAGCGCGCGCTCTTCGCAGACGGATATTACGATGCCGGAGCCGGCGCTGGGTTCGGCGCCGGCCGCGGCGCGAGGACAAAAGCCATGGATCCGGAGCTGCTGCTGCAGATAGCGGGGATGTATGAGAGGATGGGGGAGGGGGCGGAGGCGCGGGAGTACATGGAGCTTTGTGTAGCGCAGGAGGAGGGCGAGGGGGAGGAGGAGGAAGGCGGGGTGGGTGTTACGGTCGCGACGAGTAAGGCGAGGATGTGGCTTGCGAGGTGGGCGATGGGGGAGGGGGAGTGGGAGGTTGCGCTGAGGTATGCGACGGAGCTTTGTCAGGATGGGGTGGAGGTTGAGGAGGCGAAGGCGTTGGTTAGGGAGATTAGGGCGAGGGGGGAGGCGGGGGAGGAGGGGGAGTAGGTTTGGGTTGGTGGTGGGATTGCATGGATGGGGTTGGCTGTTTGCATGGTCACGGTTGTTTACATAGGCCGTGGAGTATATTGCTTGTTGCCTTGTTGTTTGTTGCTTGTATCCACTATGGTACACTTGCACACATGGTATTTGTTACCAAACCCAAGCCTCAACATGGTATTCATCCTCGGATCCAGCCCTCCCAGCCCAATCTCAACATGGTATTCCCTCCACAACTCAGCCCTTCCTATGAACCAGCCAAAACCTCAATATGCTATTCCTTCCCAAACCCAGTCCTTTCCACCACCCAACCCAAATGCACCAGTCATCATAATAATCATCATAATCATACATCACATCCTACCGTCTAAACACCGTCCCCGACCTCTCCAACCCCCCTCCCCCACCACCAGCACCACCCCCGCAACCTCCACCAGCGGCACCCCCCTCGGCGCCTCAACCCCCTCCCCCTCCCCTCCCCCCTCCACTGCGGCGCCTCCACAAACCCCGTCTTAAAATCCAACAACGGCGCCGGAATCCCCGGCACAGGCGGCGCATCCGCGAGTGACTTTCCTGATATCGTCCCCGCGCGCGACCGCGTCGATAATCCGCGCTTCAATCCCGAGGATGCGCTCGCGCCCGCGGATCCGGCGTTGTCGATGGGGGATATGGCGGTGTTGAGGAGGGAGGGGCCGGCGATGAAGGGGCCAGCGGCGAAATCGGGGTTTGCGGACCCACCGACCAGGTCGCGTGCTGCGGCTTGGCGTGCGCGCTGGGAGTAGGTTGGGCCGAGGAGGGAGGAGGGGTAGAAGGTCTCGTCGGGGGAGGCGGTTGCGGTGGGGGAGTCGCGGTCGCGGGTTGCGAGCGGGGGAGGAGGGAGTGGCGGTGGTGGAATGGGATTTGGCGGTCTGCCGAGGCGGATATGGGAGCCGGGGAGGTGGTGGATGGGATGGAGACGGCGAGGGGCTCGAAGGAGCCGAGTGTGTATGGCGTTGAGGTAGGGGATGTCTTGGTGGTGGCGGCGCGAGCCATGGTGGAGACGAGGTACCAGGAACGCCATCTCTGGACGGCGGATTGGAAGGCATCTGCGGTGAAGGCGTCGTCGGTGCAGAAGAAGTGGACGAAGTTCTCGGCGGAGAGGAACATGGTTGCTTTTTGTTGCGATTTGATGGCGCAGCAATGCTTTTTGGGCGGGGCGAGCTTGCGGAGGTGCGAGGCGATGGGGACGTAGACGTCGAAGTCGGAGATGTGGCAGAGGGCGAGGGCGTCTTTGTCGGTGAGTTTGCCGCCAGATTTGCGGTGCGCGTAGAGCTGTCCGCTGGGGAGGAGCGTGATGTACGATTTTATCCACCGGCCGGGCTTGTGGGAGTGTTGGAGCTGGGCAGAGAATTGGTCGGGTCGTCTCCGGGGCGCGGTGTGTGGCCATAGGTCTGTGTCGTGGCGGGGGGAGTCGGAGCCGGAGAGCACGAGCGCGTTCTGTGTGTCGCGGTCCCAGGAGTTCATAATGTCGCGGACGTGCTCATAGCGGCGGATGCGACGCTCTACGCCGGCGGAGGCGTAGGACTCGCGCAGGATGGCGGAGTCGGGGGTGACGGACCCGGAGAGGATGTTGGTTGCGGAGTAGATCAGCTCTTGGGCCGTGGTTGTCGGGGTCACGGGTAGGTTGATGGAGGCTTGCTTGAAGCGGATGAGGACACGCTGTTATGGGTTAATAGCTGTTCATCTGCTAGTATATTGTAAGTAAAGAGACTCACCCTCTCTCCAGCATTCACAGCCGAAACAGGCGCATCCATCCCCACCATCGCTGCCTCTACCCTCCTCCCACTCATCTCATCGCTTGTGCTCCTCGTCTCCACCTTCGCCTCTACCTTCCCCCCCGATCCTGGCGGCGTCGCCGTAACCTTCGCAGAACCCTTCTTCCGCCCAAAGATCTTAAACTTCCCCCCGCTCACGGGCGTAGTAGACAGAGGCCCCGGTGCAGCTACAGCTGCCGCAAGTGTAATCTCCAACCTCTCCAGATCCTTCCGCTTCTGCTCAGCAAGTATGCGATGCGCCTCCTCTTCATCTGATTTCTGGCGCTCCAGTCGCTGCGCCTGTGTGCGCTCGTGCGCGCGCCGGAGACGGGCTTCTTCCTCCTGCGGAGAGAGGGGTGTTGGTGGTGGTGACGGCGAGCGAGGAGAGGGAAGGTGCGTGGTCCTGTCGTCTCGTCGGCCTAGATGGTCTTGTGGGATTGCGCCCGCAGGAATAGGTCGCGTGGGCAGCGGCGTCGCTTGCGCGTCCTGTGTCGCTCCCCTCCGTCTATACCGGGACATGCTCCTCTGTGCAATTCCGCCCTCTGGCTGTGTCTTGTCTCGCGACGCTGCTGGAGGCGCTGGAGTCGCCATCGCGGCCGTATTTGCCTTCCTTACTGACCTGTACCTCGAGTACTTTGCTGGCGCAGGGGTGCAGTCGGTGATCGTCGCCATGGCGGGGTTCAGTGGTTACTTTTTCGATTTCGTTCGTCGTTTGCGTAAGATCGGTCTTCGCGCGCAGTGCATTGCCGGCCTTATATGTATGGTATTTTTCGACTTATACAATTATCGCGGTATTCGAAGAGGAGGTGTGTGTTTGTGGAAAGGGGGTGGGGGAGGACAAAATGTCTCGAAGGTAGGTGAATCAGGGGAATCGACGACGGGGAAATTTAAAGTCATGTTTGGCGTATGCAGGACCACGAATGGTTCCGCTCTAAATTAGCGGAGCGGGGGAACTTGGCGGGATTGGTCGTGGGCGGAGCGGACCTTGGCGGGAAGGGAGGCGGAATGAGGTTTAAGTTATGATTGTTGAAAGTTCACTCTCTCTGACAGATCAGAGTGGCGTTTTCTTCTCCTTTGTCAACGCATATGAAGCATCTCACTGTGAGATATTGACTCCTACGAAATTATTTGACGAAAATGCGAAGGTGCAGAGTTCAGAGTTGGCCACACGAAGTTATACGTAAGTTAGTGTGTGGAGTACGGTGGAACAACTTGCCCTCTCACCTAACTTTGGGGACACTAGGAGATGATAACAGGGACAACGAGGGCAGTTATTGCTGGGTGAATGGTTGCAAATCCGTTGAGACCATAGATGGGAAGGTAAGGAAGGAAATAGTGATGCGCCGGCGAGTGCTATGCGGGTTAAAGCGAGTTCATTTCGTCAATTTCTCACATGAAAGAGCTCTCTCTCTATCCCTAAGCTTTTGGTGCTCTAGATCTAGATGGAGTGGTATGGGGTGTTTAAGAGAGGAGAGTCTAGAAGCCGGGAAACACGCATGCACAGCTAGTATAAGGGCCGTAGATCATTTACAAATTAACAAAGCCTTGAACAATAACAGCCCTAACTCAAGTGCCCCCCATCCCCCCTGCCCTCAAAAAACGACAAGCATCTCGATCCTCCCAGCCCGCAATTTCCACCCTCGCCCGCGCCGCCAATGAATCGCCCTAGTCAGAGTAGTACGAAGGGAGCTACGGGATGGGGATGGGGGAGGGGAGAATGATTGAATAACCTCCTTTACCACCTCACCTCACGCCCTCAAACCCTCACCTCACCACGCCGCTAAAACCTCACCACGCCTTCAAAATGCGCGCCTCCACATACACCCCCCTCCTCCTCGCAACCCTCACCCAAGCAACCCTCCTAACCCCCCCGTCGCCCACCGCTACATCCCCCAACAAATCCTCGTCAACTTCTCCCCCCTCTCCCACCCCTGCACCGCCCGGTGGTTGTGGGGTTGTTTGTGCTGAGGGCGGGTATTGGTTTTGACGGAGGGGATGAGAGGTGTGCGCGCGCGGCCTGGGGTTATTTGGAGCGTTTGGGAGCTGGCGCGGGAATTGCGGGACGGAGGGGATAGGGGTTTGGATTGAACAAGGTGGATGGATGGATGGGGGTTGGAGGGGGGATGGTTAGACCCCCAGCGCGTCGAGGTCAGCTCTGCTCTGCGCTCTGGCAGATGGCGGGGAGATGGGGGGGGGGGTGGTTGGTTGTAATACTATATATGGGAAACAAGATGGGCGCAGTACTTCAATGGCAAAATCAAAGATGAGATTCGTAAACCTGCGCACTAAACGCTCTTCTTCCCCTCGTCTCCTCTCGTCCGTCAAGCTATCGTCATTACCCATTACCTTCTTTCATCCACCAGACCTCCTTCCCTCGAGCCATGTCGTCTCAAGCCATAGCGTCTCGAGCCATGCGCATCCTTCCAGTCGTCATTACCTCCATCCCTCGCAATCCCCTTCCCCCCCTTCCCCTCCCCCCTTCCCTCCCCCCCTCCCCCAATATCCCGCGCAGCAGAACACCTCAGTGCCTCCCAGTCGGCGGCGCAATAGTCCCATAAGTCTGCTGCCCCCCGCCCGTCTGCACACGCTCGCTATACACCCCCGGTGCGCGATGGGCGGCGTATCGGCCTTCGAGGGCGCGCTCGCGGCGCTCGTAGTATACGTATTCGAGGTAGAAGGCGTGGATGTGGCCGGGGATGTAGCTGTGGAGGGGGGGGGGTGGTTAGTTGTGTTTTCTTCTTGGTTGGGGCTGGGGCGGAGGTGAGGGGGGGGTCTATGTGGGGGGTTGGGAGGGGAGGAGGGAGGATGGAATGCGTACCCAAGGATTGTGAGGCAGAGGTTAATCAAGACATCTGCTCCACAGCCTGCGACGCAGAAGACGCCTGCTGGTGGGACTGGTGTGTGTTAGCTTTTATTCATCGAAGCCTTTCCTTCGCTCATCCATTTGTCCAGCGGTCACCCATCCATGCTGCTGGACCTCTAGACAGATAGACAGCCAGCCAGCCAGCCAGCCAGAAAGCCAGCCAGCCAGACAGCCAGACAGCCAGGCTGGCAGTCTTTCTTTCGCGCGCGTGACGGCGAAGAGGTGGGAGAGAGAGGAGGGGGGGGGCCTACAGAGGAGCGTGATGAGCACCACTAGAATCGCCGATGCGGCGCCCATTTTGACGAGGTTGTGTATCGTGTGAGTCCCCCCAGCGAACCTCCTCAGTCGCCGTCGTTTGTTTCTCCTCTCAGTCGCCGTCGTTTGTTTCTCGTCTCTGCACCTACCACGTACGCTGTAGCTCGGCCTCTCTCTCTGTCCTGTCGCAAAACTCCCTCTCGATATCGGTATAGGTATCGTCTCGGTCTTCAAATAAACTTCGCGGTCGTAGATGGAAGAAGGGAGGTAAGCCGGCCTGTGTCAGTAAGACGATAATAGAGCAATTTAGCAACTGTTACTCGAGTACCGTCACACTTTTAGCGTACCAAATGCCAGGTGCCCACTCTGGCCCCACGTGTGTCGCACTGTGACAGAACTCTGTCGCACTACGGAGGTGTTGTTCATAAGTTTTATGAGTGGGTCGTGGGATGACCGGGAGTTGGGCATGGGTCGGAGCATGGGTACGCGTAGGCTTGTTTGTACCTTTTGAACGCGTCAAAATTCCTACAGTATTATCTCGTTAAGTCGATGTAATTGGTCATGCATAAATATATCGAGTTATAGTAATATTGAGTTAGAAAGAGCCCCTCAGCTAAACCATCCATCCATCCAACGTGCCTTGAACCAAGTCAATGGCCTGTTTGGCCACTAATTGCCTCTCCACACGCTCTAAAGAGCGCAAAAATGATGCTGGATCCGTGATGCCACTATTCTCAGATTCTGAGAACTCAATCAGAACTTGGAGGGCTTGTACAGCTTTCTGTGTGGTGAGCACAGGACGCTGGGGCTCCTCATCGTCATCATCTTGAGCATCGGAAACCTGTATATATGGAGCCATCGCCTCCTGTAGAATTGTGTCCTCATCTAAGCCTCCCCCCAACTCTTGTATTCCCTCCTCCGCTGGATTCAAAAAGTTCGAAAGGTCCATAGGGTCTGATATATGACCAGCTTGTTGTACTCGAGTATAAAAGTCGTTTAGAACAGGAAGTGGCTGTATAGGAAGCTGTATTTGTTACGATGGTCACAGAGCTCAAGAAGCCAGTCCGGAGAATAATAAGCTAGATTGAATCTAAGGAGAGAAGAAGAAGAAGAAGGAAGGAAGGTGAGGCTATTCCTCGTAATATACAGTTGTCCGCTTAGCGGTTGTAGCCTTGGTGGCTAAGGCTGCACCCGTAACAACCGTAACAACCATAACAACCATAACAACCGTAAGCTATAATTGTAACACTACCCCCCCCCTAACTAAGATTGATCTCCTGACCAAGAGTAAGATCATTGTGGCTTCTGTGGGTATTTTCGGTGGAAAGCTTGTGTGAGTTCAGGTGCATTGTTGAAGTTTGTAGCGGGATACCAAGTGTTGTCTGGTGGGTGGTTCTTCCATGCTGCCATATAGAACAGCTTCTTCCGTAGGAATTTAGAATCTAGGATTTCTTCAACTTCCCATTCAAGTTCATCTTCTATAACGATTGGCAGGGGTGGTTCATGGTGCTGGCCTTGTAAAGCATCATCTGAGTCAAGTCGTAAGAGGTTGCTGTGAAAGACAGGATGTATCTTCATGCTTGGTGGTAGCTCTAATCGATATGCCACTTGCCCAATTCGTTCGAGAATCTTATACGGACCAACTTGCTTGTGATCGAGTTTCTTCGATGGCCTCTGAGTCCTGATATTTCGTGTAGATAGCCATACTTGATCTCCAACCTGATATCTTGGTGCAGCTTTCCTGCGTTGATTTGCGAATGTCTCCATGCGAGTTTGCGAGAGTGCGAGTTTGCGAGAGTGCGAGTTTGCGAGAGTGCGAGTTTGCGAGAGTGCGATTTGGTCTTGCAGAAACTCCCAAATATCTTTCATGCTTTGTATCATATCCTTGTGTTCCTGTGTGTCATACTGACATTCGTTGCACTCAGTTTGCTATCAAACTCAAGAGCAAACTTAGAAATCTCCTCCTCAAACCTACAAGTCACTATACATATTTTGGCTTGTCACACCAACAACAAGAGCAATACTACTCAACGATTGCTACAACCCTCTATGATTCATTACACGTCATTGCTCCTTAGTTACTGGGCCGATATGACATAGCATATCTCTACAACCCTCTATGATTCATTACATGACATCACTCCTTAGTTACTGGGCTAATACTACACATGACATATCTCTATCAACTAGAGGCCTAGGAACATGAACGATAGCTCCAAAAGCTTCTACAACCCTCTATGATTCATTACACATCATCGCTCCTTAGTTACCCACAAGATTGGTTAAGTTATGACATAATTTGTCTATAGGGGTACTCTGACCTTGGACCCCCTTTCACTTCCTATAGGCTAGGAACCTAGGAGATGGTTCTATGGGATTCTCTTACGTCGACTACAGTTACCAAGCCTGGTTAGCCCGACTCGGCTAACCTTCCTTCACCCTCATCATGTGACCGTAACCTGCCCGACTCAGATCCTTTCCGTCACTGAGGGACAGGCATCCTCACACTACCCCCCTCCTGAGAGAGTGCTTTGTCTGCAAGGCACGCGGCTAGTATCATGTCCGCAACGTCTCCGAATAGTATCCGTGAACGGAGCGTTCTTTGTTATCAGAATGTTGGCTGGTAATTGCGTCTGGAACAACTTCGTTTGTCGGGAAGGTGCTTTGTTTGCCACAGTAGTCATCCCGAGGTGGTATCGCGTTAGGGTCCGTTTGGCATGCGAAACTGGAGCTCGCTTTTGTTCGATCTCACGTTCGTTCTTGAGGTCCGAAACAGTACCGGAAGGTGTCCGCTACACGTTTGAGTAGAATTTTCGTAAACGTGAAAGAAGAAGTGGCTGCGCTAGCCCGATTCGGAGTTTATTGTTGTAAGCCATTATAATACTGATAGATTGGATAGTATAACTCCAATCCACACGAACGAGTAGGTGATGAGAGCACGTTGGCGTGTTGATAACTTGTGCTGGGCTGACGGAATCACAGATTCCAAATTTGAAGATGCTGGTTCCCACCCCCTCCGGGGCCCTTACTGTCGCCTTCCGCGTGCTCTGTCTGCACTGCCTTCAGGCCAAAGCCCGTGAGATTCAGTCCCATGACTGCGTCTGGTCCCCGACCAGTTCAAAGTGTGGGTACTGCACGTCGCAGCACTCACCTTGCGTCCCGGTAGGTTTTCTTGTGGGGTTCGGTGTTTGGTTTGGTTGGCTGTTGCTGACTTTGGTGAAAGCTGCCCTGGTTCCTTGGGGAAGAGGCCACCCCCCTCATCCCCGCCGACGTCGTCGCCGCCGCCACCGAGACCAATCGGGTGGCCCTCCTGGCCGCCCAGAGCGTGACCTCTACGAGGAGGCACGCGCCACTCGGGCTGCCCTCAAGTTGGGGCTGGCCGTGAGTAGACCCCCTTCCCCTTGTGACTCGGTGTGGTTTCGATGCTGACTCTGGGCAGCAAATTCGGTCGTCGCTGCGCCGTCTCCAGACGGAACAGGAGAGCGTTCCTGCTCTCTTGGGGGAGTTGGTGGCTGCTGTGGGCAAACTGCCCACCGCTGCCGCTCCCGTGGTCGCTCTGACTCGGGGTGATTGAAGGAGGGAGGGGGAGGATGGCGAAGTTGGGGCGGCCTACGGGGCCTAGGTGGGGGAAGACCCTGTGTCGGAGGGGACTCAGGCCTGGCCCTTCGCGTGGGGTCACTTCGACCCTTCGTCTCTCATGGTGGTAGCCGCTTGTTGCGACGCCGGTGAGACGTTTGGGAAGGGTGGCTCCTGCAAGGGTTACAGTGGTGGTGAGTGCGCCCTGGATCGGAGGGTATTTTAGCTTAGAGTCGCAGACAGTAACGACTCTGTTTCTTCCGCTTTGTCTTTTCCTCCGTGATCGTAGTTTTGTTCCTTTCCCGTCTCCCCTGCCGTAACCCCTCCGAGTAGTTCTTGAGGTGGTCCTGGTAAATCTGGGTATTCCATATGAAAACTCTCTGAGTTTATGGGGAGAGTTCGTGAAGTTTGACGCTGGGTACCACTCCGGGTCCGGATTGTATCCGACCCAACTAACCCGGTATTGTAGTTGCTTCCGGCGGAGCCTTACGGTGAGGATCTTTTCCACTTCCCATTCCTCTACGCCATCTATCACTTTGCTGCTAGGCTCAGGCGGATCCTGACCAGGTAGGGGGTTGTTCGGGTCCTTCATGAGGACGTCTGGTGAGAACACATTGTGTATTTGAGAACCGGTAGGTAGTTCCAATCGAAATGCATGCCCAATCCATTCCAACACCGTATATGGTCTAACCCATTGTTGGCCCAACTTGCAGCTAGGACAAGAGTTTTTCAAATTTTTAGTCGATAGGTACACTCTATCTCCTACGTCCCAGTCGATGGCCCTTCGGCGTCGATTCGCGTGCTTAGATATTTCCTCTTGTGCCTTTGCCATGTTTTCCTTTGCGTGGACCCATACGGTATGCATTCGGTCTGCAACCACCTTGGCTTCCTCTCGGTTTAGGGTCTCCCGGGGGTTGGTGCTTTTCGGAGTGTTCCAATCCCAACTCGTACGCGGATCGGTTCCGTACTTGAGTCGGTAGGGGGTCATGCCAATGGATGCGTGGGGGGGTGTCATTTGCACGCGGTCCATTATGGGGATGAGTTGGTCCAGTTATCCTGATAATGGGATATGAAAGGCCTCAGTCTCTGATCGATGTATCGGTTCATGATTTCCGTCTGCCCGTCGGTCTGCTTATGATAGGCAGTCGACAGCTTAATCTTAATGCCAATAATTCGACAGAACTCCTGCCAAAAGGATGATACGAATTGGGGTCCGCGGTTGCTTACAATCGACTCCGGAGTGTGTCCGAATCAGTATATCCATTTGATGAACAATTGCGCCATCTGCCGGGCAGTTGTGGTTTTGTAGCAAGGTATGGTCACCGAACTCTTACCTAGTCAGTCCATAAACACTAAGATGCTATCGTATCCATGCTTGTCCCTTGGAAACTCCTTGAAGTCCATGGTGAGGTGTTGCATAGGATATTCGGGTACGGGTAGTGGGTGTAGGAATCCTTGTTGCTTAGTGACATTGGTGTGAGAAAGCCGGCATGTCATGCAGTTTCGTACATACCGCAAACAGTCCACTTCCATCCTGACCCAATGATACTTTGGAGCGAGCAATTGGTAGGTTTTCCTGCCACTTGGATGTGCTGACGACACTTGATCGTGCGCTTCTCGGATCAGTTTCGTACATAGGTCAGTGTGGCGATTCACACATAGGCGGCCTTTGTACAGGAGGAGCTGGTCGTTCATCGCGAATCCGTCCGGTAGGGGTTGTTTTGCGCGAGTCTCGGTGAACGACTTCCGATTGTCCACACATAGCGCCTCTATTAAATTGAAGGGCACCTGTGCCTTGGGGGTGT